CCTTCTCGCCCGATGGGTGCACACTGGCATCAGGCTCGAGCGACTATACTATCAAGCTCTGGGATACAACGACTGGCACAGAGCGCCAGACCCTCACGGGCCATTCGGATTCGGTCCGGACAGTTCTGAATAAACCTTCTTCTCACTCACAAGTACGCCTATCGAATGCATGGGTCTCTTCAGGAGGTGAGAATTTTCTGTGGCTCCCTGCTGAGTATCGTTCATTTTGTTCTTATACGGTCAAAGACACTACAATTGCATTCGGGTATAGAGACGGGCGGGTCTGTATAATAGGATTCCACATCGTAGATTAATATCACTTAGGTCTCTTATTTTCTAAGATCTTTGTAAAAGGAGGGCCTGGGATAGCTCAGATTATATACCATTTTTGGCCTTTGTAAGTAAGACCTATCCGGTGGTTTCTAGATATTTCCGTAAATATGGCCAACTTGCCACTTACTCTTATTCCAGATGTTTCCGAGCCAAGGGACAAAAGCCGAAATTATTAGGGTATATATTTTTGTAATATTACATGTCAGTACAGGACGCAGTACTAGTCAGGAGAATCGTTATTCCATTCCATTCCAAATGCAGCCTAGCCTAGTTTCACACTAGGGTTGCTGAAACAATCAAAGAGTGTAAGTGGTGACACCGGTATCCGGACAACCTGTAACAGTGACCGTGATGAAAAGGCGGTGCAAGCGTCTGGGACATTGCGACCGGAACGGCTGTCATGGTGCGCTACTGTTTATGTTTTTATCATATAAAGGTATCTTCACCTGTAGGCCAAATAGAAGGTAGTCCCAGAGCAGCCTAATTCCGACAACCCTTTCATCGGTCACGTATATTGCTCAATGCGGCCCAAACGCCAACAGTCTTGGTTCCAATTGGTTACAGAGGAAGTGGGGGCATCCGTGATCTATGATCCTAACTGCTTACCAGAGTTGATACAGCCAACCGACGCACCACATCGGCGCTATCCGGCCTTGGTCACATTCCTGGGCCGGGGCCGAAAGGATAGGGCGTTGCGTTCCCTCTTCGCGGACAACCCATCAAACCGTACCGATGCCTTCGGCTTCAGCTTACGCGTAGACCATCCCACACTATACTCCGGACGCCCGATTCTCCTTACAGATGGAGACCCCAACCAAACACCACAACCACCAAACGTCAGTGGCCTGGCTGGCGTTGAAAAGATTCCTATTGCCTGGGCATCGGACGGTGGGGCACAGATAGTCGACACCATACTGGCAAGATTTCTGCTGCCAGCATCCCATGTAGTTTGCATATTTGCCGAGGATATCGGTGGGTTGATGGGAGTGCAGGCCCTCCTACAGCGCTGGATCGTTGTCGGGCCACAGGCGACGCAGCCGGCACTCCGTCCGCTCCTCCTCGTGGTCATTCAGACGAATGAAGTCAGCAGCTGGGATGGGCCTCTTGGAAATCCCCACCTCGCTGGAGTTCTCGGCCCGCCACGCGAATCACCCGAAGTCTTCGCTGGAATTCATATGCTGTATGTGGCGCCAGCCTCCGCGCTCTCGGATCAAGCCCGCTACCGGTCACTGAAAGAAGAACTGCTCAAAGCGCTGGATGTAATGGAGCGGGATCGAAGGGAGAGTGGTCTACACTTTTCGGCAGCCCATCTACCGGGGCTCTTGGAGAAAGCGATACGACATACCGCGCAGGCTCGTGACACGACGTTCAATTTGATTAAAACTGCGCGACCTCCGCCTCGTCCCTTGGAGTGGACGTCCCACATCGGTCACTTTTTACGCCAAGGAAGCAAGGTGGCAGTAGAGGCCCAAGACGCCATCATATCCTCCAGCTTAATGTTGGATGCCTTTCCGCCAAACATGCACGGTAGATGCCCGAGTGATAATGCAGGCTGGATCCATGCCACTATCGTCATACCCATTATCCCAGCTGGTAGACTTCAGAGGCCAATGCTAACACACATGGTGCAGGGTTCCATCCAATTGATCTGTTCCGACACCACTACCGGCAGTCGTGTCTCGATGCACTTCAGTCAGTGGTTGGCGGGGCGGCTGCCGTGCACCGAGTGCGATCACTGGAGTCGCGGATCGTGGACAGTCATGCCGACATGATTAACCGGCGCGCGTCGGCCTTAGACCTTCACCAACTGCAGCAGGAGCAACATCTGTTGGTGCTCCAGAGCCTCTTTAGTAGCCAGACGTGTCTAGGCTGTTTGCTCTGTAGTCCGCAACATTCTCTTGCATGTGGTCATGCCCTCTGCGATGCGTGCGTCGAGAGGTACGGTCGACCCCCTCCGCGGGCAGAATCTACCTATATTCTTGAGGCTTGCCCTCTGTGTCGACAGCCCTGCCTGATGTCTGTAGCCCTGCTGCCGCGGACTGCGGCGGTGCGAGCCCTCACTGTTGATGGCGGCGGGATCCGTGGGATTGTTTCCCTTCAGATTTTGCTGACACTCCAGAATTTATTGGGCCCGCATTGTCCACTGCCCGACCTAATCGACGTCGCATTTGGAACTAGTGCAGGTAAGCCCCCTGGTTCCCCAACAACCTTCCGGCCTCCAACGCCTCGCCGACTCGGTGTGGCCGCATATGCTGATGCATACAGGTGGATATATTGTGTTAGATATCTTCGCTATGCGAAAGACCGTTTACCAATGCTTTGAGGCTTTCCAACGTCTTCTATTTGGCTTCTTCAGTAGCCAGCAGCGCGGTTGTCGATTGCTTTCATGGCCACGTCAGATCATACGCGGTGTTACCAACCGTGGATTGTATGATACAAACCGGGTTGAATCACTTCTGCGAACCCACTACAGTTGCACAAGGCGACTATTTGGCCCGGATGTGCCGACGAGTACCAAGATCGCGGTCACTACTACTACCCAGCATGGCCCGGTGATATTGACCAATTACAAACCCGCTGTCAACCGGCCAGAAACTGCGGGTAATATTCCCAGTTTCAGCACGCTTATATAAAAGGGTTTCCATTCCTTCATCCCTCCCTTCCCCTCCCAGCCATCCCGGCATATTTGAACCCGCCTGACAATCGATTCACTCTGGTTTTCACCTGCGCCACTGTTACCAAGTCCAGCTCGCTAACCACAAGCTTCCTTGTAGGCTATCATGAATTTCTTGCCCTCACTCCAAACGAGGAGCCACTCCTTTGGCAATGGTCAGTAGGCAACACCACCTGATGGTGTAATGTGTTCAGCTAACAAGCGGGATCAAGTGCTCGCGCAACATCGGCTGTTCCTGGGTAAGGCTAGGCCCCGACACACTCTGCTAAGTACTTCGAGTTAACACGATCCAGCCTCTTTCGGCCATTTGCTCTGCCGGCACTCGGCGACTGTTGGGATGGTGGCCTGAGGCACAATATGCCTGCAGAACTCTTCCAACTCGAGTTACAACATCTGTGGCCTTGGCAGCCACCACTTGGCTGTCTCCTATCAATTGGAACGGGAGTAAGAGATCGTGTCCATCTAGAACGGTCTGCTGCTACCCCACCTTCTAGTACTGCCACTCACGAGCACTTTCTCCGGCCGGTTTTATCGAGCTTCATGGACAGCATGGACGGTGCGGCCGCTTGGCTCCGCTTCTGGAATCAGGCGGATTCCTCAGTCCGAGACGCATCGACCCGGCTCGATGTGCTACTTACAGGTCCTGAGCCTCTCCTGAATGCTGCGCACCTAATGGACGACCTAATCCGCCAGACCATCAAGCAGGGTGTGGGGGACTGCGGCCGGCAAAGCCTGATACGTCTCCTAGCTCAAAGCTTGTTTTTCGAACTTGCATCTGCCCCACATGCTGAGAATGATGGGGCGTCCTATAGATGTACTGGTTCAATCAGATGCCGTGTTCCCGCTGAAACGTTTCTTGGTGCTCTCCGGCGCTTGGACAACTCCCGAAAGGAATACGTCCTTAGCGGCCGACCCTTGGGTGTTAGTGTGACAGAAGGCACGATTTGCCCACGGTGTAACCGCTACTGTGTACCAGTGCGCTTTTTAGTTTCAAGTGTAGATGATAAGATTACACTCTCAATCCGACTAGCAGACGGACAGCGGTACTCGATCGGGGGATTTCCCCACCCAGTGCGATGGTTCATGCACCGACAGGGGCTCACCCCCATTTATGGCTTTGCCGGCGACGGCGTGACTACTCGAGATGACTGTCAGACTTGCACCAAGCGGATCCTTCAACGTCAAGGTATTCGCATTACCCAGTTGCAGGCTCGTAGAAAGATGCGTGTCGCTCATGCAATCCAACATACTCCCAAGGAATCCCTTGCTGGTGATGATGCCCGATCTGTTAAATGAAATACTTTCCTTGAGCCTTAATTGGTGACATGTTGCATTGAATAGATTCTTTGGCAGATGTCACTCATCATTCTGTACTGCCTACAGCCAGGAGATAGGCACAGTGCGATGTTTCACGCTCGGCTTTTCTTTTCTGAAGATATGATTGGTATTCAGCCACCCTACCATTTAACCGCCAAAGGTAAAACCCTTCGTTATAAGAAGACGGAATGGCTCATATTCTCACTGGCCTTGCCTCTGAACTAAACATTTGTAATGCTATTAAACAAAGAATTACGAACATCTCAACTTGTAGTACAGGGACACTTGATTAGGCAAACGGCGACTCTAGAGGAACGCCCAAGTAACCGTAGGTAAGGGATGCCCTAAGGCTGGATATATTAGGATCACAGCAGACCCAAGTAGTGCCGATGTTAAGTATTATACCGTTGTATGTCGTCCCCATAAAGTGTCTCAATAACAGTAGTATACAACTTATACAAAATCATAGATCCAATTACAGTGAACTTATATAAAAGAAATGTAGAATATATATGGAAACACATTCAATTACTGAGTTCAGAAACTCAAGCTCATTACGATCATGTAGGATCTACATCTGCTACTACTTTTAGTGTCTGGCTTGTTCACCCTAACTAGTAGGTAAGCATAGAGAGAGAGAGAGAGATGTGCATTATACACGAATACATCTCCCTATTGGGGCTCTTCTCGGGTCACCGACGGCCAGTTGGCTAGCCAGTGAGACTAACTTAGTTATATACAGGGTTATGATAGCTAGATTGTGGAAGACTCCCTGCCTTCGTGCGGCATTAAATAATTTTATTTTAGTTCCCTTCCCCTGTACCCGTTCCCTTGGTTTATCTCTCCAGCTCAACTAAGTAGCGGGCATCGACAATTGTATCTGAAAGTAGGCGTAGTCGCCCAAATAGGTATAAATTAGGAATATTAAAGGGGTCTGACAATAACAGCGATTATACCAGACTGCTTCCCCTAATCTGTCACGTCGCCCTACCGCTAGTAAGGTTGATCCATCATTACCGGTACTATCAGAGTCGCTGCTGTCCCTGTTATTGTGTAGTTATAGAGATACCAGATAGGTCAAGTATTTTATCTATAATACGAACCGAGCAATAAACAGCATATACTTTGAGTCGTTCCGTATCTCGTCCAGATCCTTTGGGCAGAATTAAGAATTACCCCAAATTTAGACTCTCAGTTTCTGATACAACAGATATATTATCAGTATACAGCACCGGATTTTGAGGGTATATTGGCACTTGGGGCATCGGTCAGTATCTACCCATTTGATCTTTGCAAGCTAGTTATCGAGCCCAATCATATTAGTTCTTCCCTGAAACAGCGCGCTGCGTTCACTCCGAGTCATACCATAATATATTCTCCTGTCTTTGGCTCGGATTGCCAATTTTAATACTTGTAGCTCCTTGCCGGGAGCGTTCGGGTCCCTATCCTACCAGCTGTTCTCCCATTCCTCCGTATCCACCGGTCCGCGGCCGACTGCAGCGGGACCCCTCCCGTGTGCAGACTGTCGCATATGCCGAGCTCCGGGCACCACCCTGTTGCTCGTTTCGCCATTTTGTCAGCGAATTCGTTCCCCGGGACCCCTAAATGCGCTGGGATCCAGTAAAAAGTCGGTCTGCCAACCGAGTTACCGCCCCTTGTCCAAAAGGCGAATAGCTTCCCTGACCAGATATTGTCCGGAGCCCTGCTTGGGATTGCGGATCGTAGTAAGGGCGCTTTGGTTGTCGGTATACATACTTCGTATAGCCTGTCGCACATTAAACAGCGATACAACCGCCCAACCGTTTCCTCTACTATGCCTTCGCATAGGAAAACCGTCTATTACACTGGAATAACGATTCGTATACCGGCTGCCTTTTCAATAGTAGCTACTATACACTGTACTAAGCCGATCTGGTATAGATGATTTTAAAGCCATTTACTATGGAACCTCTATCTATTAATGACAGAGCGACTAGTGATAGTATCTCACTGATCAATTCTCACGGGTTTTATGGAGCTCTGCAGATATGCTGACTGGCTCCTAGGAGGTGTAAGGCTCCCTAATTGATCTACATTTGGATATGTAGCTCCTTCAGTTCGGCTACAGAAACAACCAGCTGTAATTGGCGAGCTAGAACCAAACCCTGTGCTGTATTTCTCGCTACTATCCTATTATTGAGGGTGACCTTCTATGAGTAGGAGATACAGCCTACTAATCATCTGTTCTACTATAAAATGCCACCTTCTCATAATATCCTTTGCGTGAAGAGTCTTTGTTACAGTACAAAGTTTCACTGGTCTATCGAGGTAATCTACCAACATGCGAAGCCTTCCATATGATATATTTGATAATATTGCCAAATTCCTATCTCCCTTTCAAGTAAAAGATATGGAAGACTCATTTGGCCTCGCTGATGAGAATAAGTCACGTTGTCTCTGGCGAGCCATCTTTAAAGATGAACTATGGCTGAAAAAGGCCATTAGCTATGGTGCCGAGCCTGTCCTTATTGGTGCTCATCTAAATGATGTGCCCCCCCGAACAGGATCAATCCGACCAGCCTACATAGTCCTACATGCCAACGACTTTTCAGGTGATACATTTCATGACGGAATACCCTCTCTGCTACAAAGTTTGAGGAAACGCCACTCCTACAACGAAAGCCGTCATGAGGTGACTTTACCCAAGATTAGTTGGCGAAATGCTGCCAATCAGAAACTTACAGTTCCAAAAATTATACTCAATGTCTACGACATCGCTAAGGGTGCAGAAACAATGGCCCTTTCGGGTAGAAAAACGCGAAATCTGTTTGAAAAGACCACTTTTACCTCCCAATATTCCTTCTATACATGTCCTAAAATCCAGACCCTAGAGAGTCGAGACATTTTTGGTATTGGGGGGCCAGTTTCTGAACTTGGGGAACTTACCCCCATTTGCACCTTCAACCTTCGAACTACCAGTAAAAAATGGCAAATTATATTTCACGAGCCAAATTGCCGAGGGTTTATCCCATATTTCGAAGGCCAGAGAGGCATACCACACACAATTCTTGGGTGGCGACGGTAACACTGTGTATATGCTGCGGAGCATCATATTATACAGTGTGGGTAAAGGAACAAGAAAAGAAGATAGCATAACACCCAGCCACTGCTTTTACAAGGTAATGCATGTTACAGTAAAGGGTAAAAGTTGTTGAATTCTGATCTTGGTTGCTTAAGTTGCTCAAATCTATTAACATGAGTTATAACTGGGCATCATGAAAAGAAATACTTAGGAATAACAATAGTACCATACCTATTTAGGAAGCATTATTGACATATTTACAGTATGTATTGAATATTTAAGCAATATACGGAGCACAGGGTGTTCCATTAATTGTTCACAAGTACTAGCTTTGTGTTATCCCGGCGAAGGGTGTAGTGTAATGGCCCTAACGGGCCCAGCTAAGTGGTCCCACAATCGGATGTTGAGGCTTACTCCGGAGTACGGAGTACGAAGTAGTCATTATCAATTGAGATTTTATCGATTCACGAGTATGAGTCCATATGGCTTCCTGGTCCACTAAGATCTGATATAACCTTTCGAGCTTGACCTATGCCCGAGACAGCATTACATGAAATAACTCGCACCATTGTGGCCAGTCGCCACCTTTAGGTTTATCATTACAATGTTGTATATTAGCTGATTTTGGCTTCAGTGATTAACACACCACTAAGCCAGGATAGGTACCCTGTAGAGGTCTAGAACAGAGCCCAGGTTGTAACATTGAAATACAGAAAAGTACTTTAGGCAAGCCAATAGAGGCATAGAGATAATGTTTCACACAAGAGCTTCGGTTCACGGCTGAGATCTGGAACAGGGCTCCGAAACTGGTAGGAGATTATGTAATGAGAAGATCATCGGGAGGAAAAAGAACAGCCCACATTGAAAGACAAGTAGTAAATCTCAGTGGTCGATCGTTGCTAGAAAATTGGTGGCGACTAAGAATCTAGCCGAATATCAATTCAGCGGCGATGGCATATCTTCATTGCATAAGTGGAAAAATATCTAAGAAAAGTTTGGTAAACTTTACAAATTAGGTTTAACTAGCGGTGGAAAGTTCTACCGTATCGTATCCGCCGGCGCATACAGAGTCATGTCCTTAAGTGATGACGCAATATATACTGGTCCTATGTGTTTTAGAAGAAGTTTCCAGTCGCTCATCGTACTAAGATAGGGCGTCGATCCTGGTGGAGCGGCTCGCTTACGGAGTCAAGAGTAGTCCTATTATATATGTATGCTCCGGTAAGGTCCCGTGGGATCGTTTAGCGGTTTACGGGGGGTAAATGGTTTCCCAATCAAATTGCCACCGATTATTCTGCTGATTTCTAAAGAATACCTGATTTATAAGGCGACTCAGACGTATTCAGAAGCTCACTTATTTGTAGACATCTAGGTTGCCTAAACAGGCCTGGCCTGAAATCAATATGAAATCAAGCCACCTAGAAGAGGCTAAGATAATCGGTTAGTATAAGGCCCTAAGGCCTCATATCCTGACTTCTCTAGGAAGCAGTATGGGCGGTGAGGTAGGGGGCTGGGGCCCATTCAACGATCCCACGGCACCCTCCCATAGTACAACTGCCCCCACAGGGATCTTTCTAATCTTTTCACAGCAGCATAAATTTTAAAAAACGGTTAAAACGAAACTTTCTAAAAAGTAGTAATAGCCATACACTAAGTACTAATTATACCTTTAGTCTGCTGTGTGTGGTATTTGAAATTTAGCACCCTTTAAGAGGGGACCGTGCACCGGTCTTACCGCCTACTACTTTCATTATAGTACATGGGACTGAGGCAATACATTAGCTTCTTACACAGGCAGCTAAGGAGACATGGTAGGTTATAGAACAGCAAGTTCATGTACAACTTTCCCGTCTGACAGTGTAGATGCTGTCATTGGGGCCCAGAGCTGGTGTACTCAGTACTAGGATAGCAATCCATGAGGTTTCTCCAGCAGAGTAGGCCTAGTTTGGTAGGCGGTACCTAGATTGGTCACTAAACCCTATATACGGAGTAGGGTGTTCCAATTTACGATTGCTCCCCACTGTAGTAGTAAGTTACTTGACATGCTTGATTTGTCGCCTGATTAAATCGCTTAAATCGTCTAAATGTTTGCACAGTCTGCTGGTACAGACGCATTCGAAATGTCCTTCCATCAGCTGTACATTCAAGGCTCTTTTCGAACCCTAATCTTCTCCTGTATTCGGTTAGCATTAAACCCTATTTCTAGAAATATCCAATGATACGTCAAGAATATAACTTATAAATATATTTAAGCTTCCGGGATTACGGTTTGAAAATCGACTTGAATGTACAACTGATGGAAGGACATTTCGGACGCGTCTGTAGAGAAATATATATAGGGTCTTAGCTCTTAAGGGGAGCTGAAGAGAAGTACAGAGTACTCAGACCTAGATAGGGTTAGGAAATGTTAAATTCTTAATAAATATAACTACACATCATTGTGAGGGAAACCACGTCATTATCTGGGTATGTTGGGCACCTATAGTTAGTTGGATACTGAGTCTGTATACTGCATAGCTTAACTACGTGTAAAGTATAGCCAGAGGGATCTACCGTCTATCTATTTAGGAAATATAGTTAAGCTACGAGTGTATTGCATGGACTGAACAACTAACTAGTCTAGGGCTTTCCAGTAGACGCTGCGTGCGTGGCCAGATGAAAAACGCCAAGATTTCTCATCTTGATTGTTTTGTAGATTTAGGTCACCATACTTTTCGCACCCTACTTGGAGTATTCCGCACCAAAAGAGCTTGCCAAGAGTGGAGTCGTTAGGAACTAAAACGAAACCCAAGTACCCGTTCCTAAGCCTTGCCTATTGCAATACCTATTCCGTAGCAAGTACTCCATACTCTGTAAATCACCCCATATCAAACTCTGCACTAAATTACCCCACGTGGATCGCTTCATGTATCTCTGTTATTTTCTGCCTTGAGGCTAAGGGTGAAACAAAGGCATTATTACTTGAATTTTTCTCGAGGGAAGTATTGGCTCAGATCCTTTGGTATGTCCATCAATAGGCCTTCTACACCGTTTGCTATGAATGATTCACAACCGTTTAAAGGGCTACGTTTCCGTAATTTCAACACATGGAAATAGCGCAAACTCTGGTCATGCCTAGGGACTGTGGGCGACGTTGTGGGTACGGGGTATACTTTATCTATGCCATAAAATCAGTTCCAGTGGTTGGTCCTGTTTGCTCATATGATCTGAGATCGACTTCCCGACCAAGGTTTCCACATCTGAAACCATGGAAAGACCAGGTGCTATGGAAAACTTATGGATGCATCCTTGTAACCTACGTTCCAAGCCTCTCTTGCCCTACCGATCCGTGTTTACCCGTTATTTCCTTGAGGGAGAGTGGGTTAACAATGGGGAAGCTAAACAATCATGTCTAGCCTTGTCTATCGATAGATCCTTTCGAGGCACATCAGCGGGAACCATGCCACCCACTAATCTGAAACGGAAGCCGCCATGCGTACCATGGTTGTCGAGCCCAGGGAGTATCGAAGATGTTGAGTGAGGCGTAGGTATATATCTGGTCATGCACTCACTCCCGTAGCAACAAAGCAGTCATCCATCAACTGTCTTCTGCCAGATCCTATAAACAAATGAAAATGTCAATTTGCGACGTTCAAGCAACCAAGTTAAAAGAGAGTCCCACATGCAGCCTTCTACCGAGAGGGGAAATGCATGTCCAATGCTATCAATCAGCTGTGGATCCATCTGCTCAACACATCAACTGCAGCCCTGATAATGTGATGGTTGTCGGGCAGCAGGATTATTGGCAGATCGCAGTACGTCGGCTCCCTAGATATCGCCCGAAACTCACTAATGAATCTTCCAGAAACCCTTGGTCGCCGAACTATGTAGCCAATGGGCCCAAGACTATGAACGAGCGGGTTGTACGGTGGAAGCACTGGTACGTCACACTTTATTATGTGTCCCATATTCAAACTACTCGAGAGGGAGGGTTGATATATACATAGGATGACACAGCCCTGCTGACCTACATCGTAGCTCACGTATCTCCGCCACATGTACGAAGCCTTTCAGCCTCAGAGGGCGATCTACCACGAGTCAAACAACCCGCTGGACTATTTGTACGCCATTGATAGTCATCTGAGTGACTATCATCTCCCTGACCAGGTTAATTCAACGCATGTATTGCTGTCCGTTGCTAAGCGGAATGCGTACTAATGGAAGGACAGTTCGGATCTGCGAGCCCCTGCTTGGCGCCAGCCGAGTACCAGAGAAGCCAGCGGCGAGGGTACCTTTGACATGCTGCCAGATGTGCCAAACGAAGGCAGTCCCCAAGAAGCCACTCCTCACAAGGAGCGCGATGGAGCGGAGGATATACTGCCGACAAGCAGACCCGAGTCCAACGAGAAGGGGATGATAGAGCACAGCACCGCTGGTCTATCTAAAGGTGATGGTGCACAAAGTGACGCATTCCTAGGATGCCATCCAGAGGTAGACTTTTCTCGTATGGTTCGGGACGGCACAACTCCAGCGTTAGGGTCACTGCCAGCTCTCCTTGATCTTGCGACCGATGAAGGAGAGACTTCGACTGGCCTGAGAACACCTGGTACCACTGGCAGTGCTGCAACGTGCGTGGATTCGTTGTTTGTGCCGTCAGATGGTCAAGATCTTAACCTCCCACCTGCGATATCCTGGCGTGCCAACCGGATATTACCGAGTGCCACATCATACACCAAGACAATCGGGAACTGTTCCTTAGGTGCATTCCCGGTGCCGTCGTCGTCCAATCCCGACAGGTTAGTTGAGGATTGGCGCCTGCTTAACAATCTTGATCAGGCTATCGCCCACACGCCATCCCCCTCAGCGACAACCCGTGATATCCCTAACACAGATAACTACTTATCTCCGGGTATAGAAAGTCCGACCTGCCTTGCAAGCACACATGAGAGTCCAGATCATAGGGCGAGTGCTCAGATAGGCCTAACTGATACTCTTGCAAAACAGTGGGCGGATACAAACCGCATTATACTTTATGGCAGTATATTGGCACGCGCTGATATAGAACAAATACTGGATGAGCTACAGAATCCTCAGCGCCTATCGATTCGTACAGTTGACTTCCTTGGTGACTACTTTTCATACTATTGCCAATCATCTGAATTATATATCGCCGATACAGTCTGGCCGGACCGTTTACATCGTGGTATTCTCCGTCTAATGCCGCTCCCACAGACAATACTACTACCCAGCTATATTAATGGACACTGGTCATTAATTGAAATTCAAATCTACTCTGGAGCTGTGATCCATTACTCGTTTCCCGCAATTAGGCCCGAGTTAAACGAGATATGTGATTCTCGTGATCCTGCTTGTACCCCCTGCCGAGGCGCTATAGAGGCTCTATCCCAACATCTCCGAGATATGGATAAGTTGTGCCCAGAGTGGAAATTCTATAACCAGTCGGTTACTACCACGATCGGAGATGAGGGCACACGCTTGCTTTGGACAGTAAAGCAGCGTGTCAACAACCAGTCCGTCCAAGAGGAACCGTCCGGGGGTTTCCGGGGGAGCCTCATTCGTGAAATCATGGCGGATGCACTCCACGTTGCAGGGAAGTCTCACTTATCGTCACCCTCGGCGACCTCGCCCTCCCGCAGGCACCACAACGTCATATCAGAGCAGGCGCAGCAACGCTGGTCTGCGGTCACGATCACATGCAATACTCCGATTGACTTTACTCATATATGGGAGCGAATAGGCCACATGCCTCTAAGCGCTACAGTGTCGATCGGTAACAAGCAGGTTGACCGGCTACTCCGGTTAGCCTTTACTATCGCATCGCCGCCTGTTCTAGTAGAACTACGGCATCAATTGCTATATCTACGTCAGAAGCAGATAGCATCTAACTGGTGCTTCCAGCGTACCCCAGCCGGTGTATTTGAGGCCGGTATCTGGCACAAGGGCAATAAGCACACATCCCGCATTGGCCTCGCGCTAACTTGCTGGTCTGTATACAGCCATCGCCAGCAACGGCAGCAGGAGGGTTATCCAGATCCAACCGCTCAGACCGTAGTGGATATCTATCACCAGCTCCCTGATGCGGCGCGTGATTATTACCAGGTCGAGGAGAAGGTAAAGGACTGGTACAAGCGTGCATGACCTTGGAGCCAGCTGGTACGTATTGCCGGCTCACCCAATGTGCTCTGCCTTCTACCCCAAGGTGTATCATTTGCAGGACAGGACACATTTTCTATGACTGACTACCAGACTCTTAAAAAAGCCCATTTTGACGCCTTGGAGACGACATTTCAAGAATATAGGCCCCGGATGTTACAGTTTATACCGTCTAATTTCTTTGAGATCTTTCTCTACAACCGTCTCCCAGTGGGCAAGTACAGGATTGAGCAGTGGACAGAACAGGAGATCCTGGCAGAACCGCTGGGTTCGGAGAAATTGGACCGAGCCTTCGATCTGCTTGTGGAAGAATGTATCAATGAAATAATCTAGAATCAAAGGGAAAGCTGATTTACACTGACAGCGCCTATTTTTGCTCCAAGGAAGCTTTGTTTGGTGCATGACCTGTAGCTGCTGTTTTACAGTACTTCAATTGATAACAGCCGTGGGAGAGCTGTCAAAGGTCGATTTAACAGGACTTGTTTCATTCCCATGCTCTTGCCGTTCCTCTGGTAAGCAAAACCCACCTACTGTATGCATGTACCATTCGTATTTGCCATGTCTATCCAATAATATGTACCCCGCTTATTAACTGTGGATTCGAACGTCGTGACGGCCAAGCAATATGATGCTATAGGTACGTGTATCTAATTATAATCTCAAGCGTGAGCGCTAGTGTGAGGGCAAATAGCCTAGCCCGCACACAAAATATCCCTGTATAACATGCGTATACACGTACACTTCCTTAGTACCAACAAACCACATAAAACGGCATATCGTATATGCAGGCTGTGTGGGGAGCCTCGCTGAACGAAATCAACAGCTAGGTGGAGGTTCTATACCCTTACACGAGCGGCTTTTAGCCTTTAAGCAAGGGATTGTTGATCTTGTCCAATCTGGGGAGATAATACGAATTATTTTAAATTTGTGGAGAACTTAGAGATAACATGCTATTTCCCAAGATTACAGCTGTCTTTTATCTTTTTAGATAGTTCGATATTGTATTGAAATTTCTGTTTTTTTCTTTTAATCCTTTTCATTTTATTATCACGCATGAGACCTGCACCTTGTAGCTCTAATGGACAGGTATAAAGTTACCTGAATTGCAGAGCTGTATAATACATTACAACAATGGAAGCATTATGTTTCGGTAAGTATATGGTATAGAACCAATACAGGAGATGAAAGTGGTCACTGGTATCCACGATGTAAGCATAACCCGTGTGCCCAGACTGAAGTCTTTCTAGGAGGATAAGTATCGCTCAAAGTCCACTTATCTGGCATCAAATCTATGAAATTCCTCTATTTGTGCTTGTATCAGCATCATTTCATCCTACATAATGGACTCCCAAGACCATGAACGAGACCTTCTCTCAGAGCTCCAACAAAGCACATCTCTATTCCTAATGCTTGGTGGGCACTTACCCAAGCACAAGCAGCTTCCTCTGCCAGCTGATTATGTTGGGAAGAGTCTGGATGATATAAAGCGTTGTATGCGGTTATTTCAGGACACTTATTTATTCCCACACCTTATGAAGATTTGGCGTGACCAAGGCATCAACATCGATATTGACGTGTTTCTGAGCCATCTACGAGAGCAGGCTAGCCAAAAGATTAACCTGGATATTGGACGTTGCTTGCAGATATTTCGGTCGGGCTTTCCACCGTGAGTTTTTCCTATTACATGTATTTTGTGATGGTGGTACGTATAGCGACTAATCGATTATACTTAGACAGATAATCTTCGTCCATGCCAGACGCACAACAACGGATTATTGCAAATTACACTGGGTCCTGACCCTTGAGTGTAATGACACTACGATCAGTTCAAACCACACACAGGCCGGTCTCGAGTGGAATAGAGACTATCATACAGATACCGTTGATATTACATATACCGTCCAAAATCATCCTACACAACAAGAAATGAAATATTGGGCCTCCCGAGTTCCAGTTAAGAGGCTGGAGCATATGTGCAGCTGTGCACTTTGGGTGTAAGCTCTAAGATATAGAACTCCTGGGTCCTCATGCTTACTTCTAATATCATACAGGTCTGAAGTTATTTCAAACTATCGTACCAGGGGCTTTGTTCAGGACCCATCACACGATGGTATTTTTGTTGATTGTTTACTTTTGAAATTTACTTATGCTCCACTAGGAATATAACATGGATATGTATATTGTTGGAGAATCAGCCTGGGTTAAACCATTTTCCGCTCGGACTCTGCGTAAATGCCTATCATATATTCCTATGTTTCGGATCCTCTATTCTGTCTCACTTCACAATTGTTTACACTAAGCCTCATTCCCTTGAGTCGCTGTTTTATCTCTGTAGCACGATACATAAATAAGTACGTATACCAGTAAATGGAGAGGGTAATAATGGGACTCAGCCACTGTGTGCGTGCCTCCCGGCAGGCATAGCACAATGCACCTGGTTTTATTTTCATCATTTCAACACGTGCTATTGGTATTGATCAGCTTTACAGAGCACCACGGTTACGTTCTTACATTTCCTCATATCCTTCGTTACGTATGGATATTACGTACCAACATCGGGTAATCCCAGAGACACTAAGCTGGGTCCCTAAAGTGTTCTGTCCACCCTATAAGCACCATATTGCCCATACGGAATGACAGTTGTATTTAGATTGATACTGCACTGTATCTATATCTATTACTCTAAAAAGGAGAGCTTTAAACTCAAAGGTACAGCCTTAAAGGAGCCCATAAACATTGTCATACCCTGAACTTCGTGAGATTGCCATGACCTATCGATATGATGTATCGGTTTCCTCGTTCTGGAGCAATATTGGACAGATGTTTTACGGGAGCTACCCGCGAGGATATCGCTGTAGAAATGTGTAATGAGATGATAGCAAAGCTGAAATCCGGGATATCACTCTAAGCAAAACGGAGCCTGGTATGTTTTTAACATCTCCATAACGTTATTAAGCACCACAATCCTGTCTTAAGATCCAGTGAAATGAAGACGAGGTCGATGTAATAATTCTATTACCGAGTATGTCAGCAAGTGTATGGGCCGGTTGACAGATGGGACTACTATGAACGATGGGGTGAAATGCCTAAAGAAAGAACTATTGTCGTCCACTTGAATATGATATTCTATTGGTACTATCACTGTGTTATCAAAATGTCCCATATCATCTACATAAAACGAGTTACTAAGCATCAAGGTAGTCGTATTCCTTGGAGGGATCGACCTAAGGAGAGAACTGTGTTTCTTTACATTGGAAGTCGCACAGTGTCTACAATTTTTCGCGGGTGGGGGGACTAAATCCCCCTAAATCGGCAAAGCCTTTCATTCCTGGTCGCAAGGCACCCACTTATATTGGTATGCATGCCCGGGCCAACGAGACTAGAACGGTACAGCGTCTATCAGAAGGTCGGGTTGGTTTGCAAGATCCACAAAATATTGTATGTAATACATAGCGTAATACAACGCGGTGTGGACTGTGTTCGTATGGAATATATAAACACGAGCCAAGCCACTTCGGAAAGTCTTTTATACCTACACGGTGGATAAACTTGCTTAGTCACCTATACCGATACACAATATGGATGAAATGCCGAACCCCGCTCAACATCCGATTTTTGAGCCGGATGGCGATGAAATGTGGGCAATGCAGAATCTGGGATTTGAGAGGTACTACAGGCAAGGCCCTCCACCAGAAGAAGTGGTGAGGGCTGTGGAGGAGACCTATGAGCGAGAGACAAAATATCGCGAATCCCCAACATTACACTGCCTTGGAGGCAACGAATGCGAAACCTTCCTAAGATCTAGAGCTTCAGAGGTAATGTTGTTCGTACATTGAAAGAAGTCACAGCTGAATTCAGTATAGATCGAAGGAATTATTGAACGAACTTTAGGGGTGGAGTTCAGCAAACTTAAGCGACAACAACCAGTGATCTTTCAGGGTGAAGGTGGCCAGTCCGGCTATAGAATGGCCCACCCTTCCGGTATTGGGGCAGACGGATTTTCGGTTTTTGGGGTAGTAAGAGGCTCGGCATCTATTGTTTTGTACACCGGGTTTCTGGAGGAGCCTGGAGCCCGGTATGAGCCCAAGCTCGACAACACTGAATTATTGGCAGTACCGGGTCAAACCTTCGTCGAAATCAGGCCCACTGATGGTGTTCTGATAGTTTGGTGGGGATTTTCCAGGGAGCTTATCCTTGCTAAAGCTGCATCGCCTTTTGTTTTGCCTTTTATGGTTTTTGATCCGCGGGGGAGAACCTAACATCACCGGACTCGGATAGGTGTCCTATTGGCTTAAATAAATATTGTTGGTTGACATAGTCATGAGATATGCTTGGCGAAAGCCAGAAAAAGGGACTCACATTCCTATATGCTGACAGTGTTGTAAAGCCGTCGGTACTCGCGGAATTCTTCTATTAAACGTCTATTGTCGTTAAGGGTTGACATAAAGCTGCTTGACAAGAGATCTATTAATCGAAGGATCTCCTTATCAGAGAGCCATAGGAGCTTTGGCAGGGACGGTAGGAGGACTATTGAACAATTTTCCACTCCGACGCGCGTTTCAATTTTTTGGAGTTGTCGTCCACAACGGAAACTATTTCTGATCACATGATTGGGCTCAAGACCATAACGGCGAGAAAGAGAAGCCGCAAGTCCAATACGGCCGGTTTTGTTTGTCGACCTAAATGGTACTGTATTGAATTGCTGTAGCCTCTGGGCCCAACAAATGCACGTCAGGAGACGGATGAAGAGATCCCCCAACGTAGGATGCTTCCCCTTCTGACCCACCTCCAAGCCCAGTCTCGGATTCTCCTTTGCTGCACGGGCCATGTGTAAGACTAACCCGGTTTTATCATAAGCGAAAAATGCTTTAAGCGATGCTAGCCCTTGGAGTACATCATCAATAATATCCTCGGCTGTGTAGGGCTGGCGGGGGGACATCTTGATAGTCGGAGAATGGGCCGTGTAAAAAGTTGGAGATGCACGTTCATTGTCCTCTTGGTTAATAGTCGGGCTTAAGGAAGGCCCGAGGCTAATCTTCATAGGTATTTCCCCTTTTAGTATAAATCATATATTCCTTAGCCCACCACACAGTGGTCAATTCAAGACCCACATATAGTACTTTTGTAACTTGGTACAAATAGAGTTTAAAGCTGAAAGCCACTGGTCTATAGATGGTAAAATTCATGTGATCTCGTCCCCTTTCCTATTGGACTCTGACAATACTTCGAATAAAACTGTTAGTAATAGATCGAAAAGAATGACCCACCCGATTCCGGTACAGTAATAGCCACGGGAGTTATTGGGTATTTCCTGTAATCGTTCTTATCTCTGTCTTTCTTTCTTCGATGCGGTTAATAGGAGCCGAGGAAAGTACCATCCCTTCCTAACGCATGTGCCCATTGGTTAGCTAGGGTGGGTGGCTATGGGCTAGGGTTTCGCCGCTTTTCTATTGCTCTTACAATACATTACATCGAGCGTTCTTTTGGGCCGATGTCCTATAGCATACACTTGTATTTGAAAGGCCGTCCGGTATAGAAATAGGTGTTTGATCTCGGTGCTACTTGCTTAAGTAGGCTTCGTAATTCGACCCCACTATGCTTAATTAGCTTTTACGACAGCCTGGGGGACCATATTATCGCAATGTTCCAGCAACAGAAACTTTCTCGAGATCATGCAAGGGATCCGGAGTTGTATCTTCCCCAAGGCGACATGAGCTTTATCCTGTTTTCTGTATTTTGTATGCTCAACCCCCTTACATATTTGTAATTTAGCCTGAAGCAGCAAGAGTGAATGGACAAAGGGTAACTAAAAGGAAAAAAGTAAATGTTTAACGTTGGTGGAAATATTAGGGTGAAGCTATCCCGCACATCATATAGACAGGTTTAGGTTAGAGCGGGGTTCAAATGAGTAGCCAAATACTGGCTTTGACATAGTCAATAATGACTTAGCTCAGTACATATATTTTGTGGATCCTAATTATTTGTGAGCAGATAGTTTCTGACCTGTCCGGCCATTCCTCGGGTAGACCAAGGCTGGAACGATGCTGGTTATTCCACCTGTAGCGAGCTGCTCACACCAGGATCCACGGAGTATGTAACACAGTGGGGAATCATCGAAAGTGTACGGAGCTAACCCGTATCTGGTATGATTCATATATACTTGGCTGACTCCTGGGTCCTTATCTCTCCCTGATTGGCCTAAGAGGCTAACATGTCTTTTTCTAACCCTAGGAAGGTTTTCTTTTTTTTTTCTTTCTTTAGTTTTTATTTATTCATTTATTTCAAAAATAAATAAAGAAAACAAGGCTGTAAGAAAACAAGGCTGTAAAGTAGATAGCCGCCAATATCTCAAACATGTAAATCAACTATGTGCTATTTTACTCTTAGGGGCACTTGATCCATTGCCCGATATATCAAATCAACACTTCCTTAATTTAATCCATACTGCCGTACATATGACTCTGTCTGATTTACTCAATTACTATAATAAAAACCCGTCTTTTACTATATCGGCCTCTTATTGTCGGTCCTCATCCCTTAACTTGGGTTCGCTTTACTTGTCCAACCCAATCCCTTATACCTAGGCACTCACCCCATTTATAGTGATTTACGATGGATGATACTATCACCGATTCGGATTCTACGATCGGGGATGTATTCTCGTCTGATGGTTTCTCCACAACGGATACCATGTCGTCCGTAGACACGTTAGATCTAGACTCACTGGCGGAAGGACGGTATTATTTAAGAAAGCTACCTGTTTCATACTGGCTAACTGATTATCTAGTGACACGGAAGATTCACGGTTGATACAAAGGAATGGACGAGTATACTATGAAAGAGAACTAGGTTGGTTCTTTGAAGTGAGATTCTGGTCATTAATAGCTGACTCAGGAAGACCGATATCCCTGGCCCATGGACTTAGATGCGCGAGGCCGACAGCGTGGGCTTCCTATAGACTTCGAAACGTCTTGATCTAACAAACGATAGAGGATATGTACAACATTGCTCTCGCCCACTTTGACGGGTATCTCTTCCATGCACCGATTATTGAAGAACCACAGAAAGTCCTTGATATCGGTACAGGGATCGGAGCTTGGGCGATTGACTTCGGTGAGAAACGACTTATAATACTTTTTAAACACAGCTAACATGATGAAGCGGATGTATTTAGAGGCTCGACGGTCAGTACCTATATCATCACTATATATTCCTACCAGAATCTTATGCCCTATAGGTATTCGGCATAGACTGGGTCTATCTACAGGCTGATTTGTATGGTATGTCCCGGTTATTCTTTACGAAATATGCTAACAGCTGACAGAGGTACCCCGAACGTCCATTTCATTATTGAAGATGTTGAAAATTACCCTGGTTGGTATAGCGAGTTCCGGAATGTCGATTACGTACATGTTGGTCAGATTGGACATCGTGTACAGAATTTGAGGAACATCCTGAATGGGATAAGCAGGTAAGTGCCTGGTTTAATTGAATAAATATACTCACTGACATTGTGCCAAGATGCTGTAAGCCAGGAGCTTGGGTTGAGTTTGGCGATTGGGTTGTGGAACTTGAAGATCCAAACGGCCCAGTCCATCAGTGGTACGTTGAGCTACAACTCGCTCTCAGCCGATATGGATATGATTTGGAATTTCCTATCTTGTATTCAAGTACAATGGAGGAAAAAGGCTTTGGTGGTATCACCATCTCGGATAACCGAATCCCTATGTCTCTCAATGATACCACCCACACGATGACCTCCAAGGCACTTCTAGAATGTTGGGCCTATACTCTAGAAGACCTGAGTATGGAACCTATGACTGAGAAGCTAGGGCACAGCGCAGAATATGTTCATGAACTCTGCTCTTCTGCGCAACGTGCAATACTTACTGGTGGCAAAAATGGATATCTGAATTGGTAAGTTTGTCGTCATGGTCTCTATCGATATACGTGTTAATAATGTTTATTTAGGCGTGTTATTTATGGTCAAGTTAACCATGTGTAAATGCCAGATAGTCAGGAATTAGCATCTTTAAGGGTTCTAGTCATCAAACCAGGATTTATACGATGTTACATATACCCAGGACAACCTGTAACTGCTATGTTCCTTTCGACACTTTGTGTTGTACCCACATGCTCTCTATATACATTAGTCCAGTTTTATCTGTTATGCAATATCTAGGCATTCTGCAATCCTCTCATATGGATAATATATTAGCCGATGGTGCTTTATAGGCAATTTGCGATAGGAATGTACCCGAGAATGGTTGGCTTGGCACTACTGCGGAGTAACTACGTCACTTACGTCACTAGTTTCTTAAGAGGCATCCAGGCTATACCCCAAAAGGTATATTTTATATATTCTCTGTTCACGGACCTTACCCACAGGTCGGTATGGATTACTGAGTCTCAGTACTTTCCTTCCCTCCTTTGTTCGGCCGAAAGAATTTACCCTCTCGGTCTCCTGATTGGGCAAAGTTAATAGCGGTATTATATCCCTAATACTTATCTATTTCAAACGAGAAAACCGGTATCCATCCCTACTCCATACCTAATATCCGTAGTACTTGCCTATGATAGTTCCATTGTCGATCTTAACTTAAAAGATATACCGACTGAGATGAGTGAAAAGAGGTTAATTAAAATTGGTGTCTTAGAGATCTTACTATTTGGACAGAAGCTAGTCCCTTTCTAAATACTAGAAGAAAAAGGCTGAAGAGAAAGGGGCACTGTCAAATATAGTCACTGTATGATAGAACCTTGCTTTTCAGTTATAATATTATAATAGTCTCTAGTCATAATACAAAGGAAGAGGTAATAAAAATGGTTTCGGCTGAAAAACAAATCATATGATATTATACGGAGATAGATATTTATTCAATTATCCTCTCTTGTTCGACAAGGAGCCCTTTTTCCAACTTGACCAATAGAGAAGTAGAATAGATTCGGGGTTTGCTCGATCAAATCAGGAAATGATTATACCCCCCCAGGGCTGTTCTATTAAAAAGCTATTAGTGACGATCTAATTGGGAACTGATGGGCTTCCAAGGTATGTCTCAAACACAGCCCCAGCTGATCACTCTCCCCTATCCTCTGATCGGCTTCATCGCTGGCAGTAAGCGGGAAAGAATAGCCGAGTGGACTATAAGCTATACCAAAGGCGGTATGTTTCATATATTCTTGTTAGCCTTCCATAATAAGCCATAGAATCGTCAATACCAATATTGGTAAACAAATGTTTCCTTATATCATCGGCTATTATACATGGTACGGTATGATAAAATATAATTATTTCAATATCCCAGCTATTGCCATGGCCCCGGGTTATTTAACATACCTAGTAATATGGCGGGATTCTTGTAATTCAGCCATTGTTTGAACTTGCAAGTGTGCCAGTCGAACTATATTACTAAGGGTATTAAGTAAAGGTCTTAAAGTATACAGCTAAACCAGACTCCTTTCTTTAGATAGACAGACTCAACCGATGTACATTTAATGTATTAGTATAAAAATCAATGGAATACAACATTAAGTTGCTACGGTGAGGTTACATCAGTTATACTGGAATGCGCGATGATATTTGCACATGCCAGCCATGACTGTTCAATATTCATCTTTCCGGGATTGAAATGGGTACCAACGTAACCGGGGTACCCATAGCATCCTAGCACTAAAGAAGCCAGGATCCTATAGTAATGTCTATTACAATACATACTCTGAGCTAGGAGAGTAATCTATAATACGCGTTATTTTCATTCCACATCCAGTCTTCCACCATCTTACGTATTCTTTTGTCATTGTGGATCACACTTATCAGTGATTGGCCATTACATGCTGTTGTATATAGTATTACAACTAACTAGAGGCGATTGGGAAGGAGTCTCTCTGTGAAAAGCCTTCTCCAAAAGCACAAATAAAACTTAAACCCTTCTTCCATCGAAAAGTAAGGCCAATCGAATATTATATAGAAAAACATAATAAAATACATAAAGATAGAATAGTATAACACATAACGAGTTATTATATGTTCAGGATAAAAGTGATGTACCCCTTGTTTCGAGTTAGTCTGCGACTGCACCAGCTGCACCGCCTTAATAATACATTGTAAGATACCTCGCTTTTTCAACTACAGAATCTAGTCAGGACCATAGAATATGGCTGATAGTAGAATACAAATTATTATAGTTCATATCTATCTATAGGGGATACTCAAGACGTTTATTACCAGGCCCCTAAAGTGCTAACTAGTTAGCATTTATATATATGCTAGAAATTGCCTAAGTTATTTTGGTCCCTGAGCTGGTCTGCCTGACTTGCTATATGGTTGTCCGTATGCCAGCTTTTGGGGGCAACTAGCATTTTAAATACATAGAGCATGAAATCTGCTGCAGTGTAGAATATCGTAAACCTGGGTTTGTAATAAGCGAACTATAGCCCTTCGATGCGCTATCGGGATGACACCGCAGCTTCCCTTCCCATCCAAAGAGAATGTCTTAAAAAGCATAGAAAACAGTAAAGAAGCTCTATTGGATGTCAGTGAGAGATTCTACTCCATATGAGATTAATCTACCGTATATATTAGTATCATTTGCTGACTTGCACTATATACCATATTCAAATATCTTGGCAATGGGGATTCAGGACACAGTCTCGAACTACCCTAATATCTTCTGCATCCCATCGGCACAAGCATCTACAATAACATTTATATTATGTATTGAGTTGTTGTATACCATATCTGAATGCCGTTGCGGGCAGAGTCTGCGTAGCAACTATGCCAGGGCTTGTTCAGAACCACTATCTCTTCTATTGTCCACCGTTGGCTATCACGTTTTGGATTTTCCTAAGTGATAGTTGGTTACAAATAGCAGACAGGTAAAGTCCATAGCTCAATCCAATATAAGAGGAGAATATGTTCAAAGAGATGTGAAACGAGCTAACCAATCTTTCGAGCCAGTCTTTTAGGTAGACGTTATACAACCCTGCCAGATGCACTTTAGTATGACCGAAGCAGGGCTATGTTCTCCCCCAAGCAATTGCATGAATACAGAATTCATGGTTTGGGTGTCCTAAGCATGGGAGACAACCTGACCGGATAGTGAAGGATATACACTGTTGGAATTAATATCGCCAAATCAATGAAGGCTGCCTTCCATCAATGACACTGCTATCGAGGGGAGATTAGGTCAAGTAGACATAAGAGGCTCTGTAGTAGGGCCACTTGTATATCTTCATATATTACCACGTTATCAGGTTGTGTTTAGCCGAGGAGCTTTTGTAAAGTCCTTCTTGGCGAGTCCAGCCATTCCGCTGTAGAGCTATGTTTAAATCGTTGTTCAATGCCCGGCACATTAGTGATAATTTAAATAGTGAACATGATGATAATCGAGAGAATATTACCACAGTACGTTCCAGAACGACAATTCTTTCCTAAAGGTAAGCTTGGTGATCAGTGACAATGCCCTCCGTGCTAATCAAGCACGGAGAGAAATAGTACCTTCACCAACTGCCCAGCGTTCCTGTATATATGACACATTATAAGTTGGAGATAGCAAAGTTTGGCGGGACCAGGCTGTCTCAGACCGCCTGTAACTAAATGATCTTTCCCCCATTCCGCGAGAAGGCATCCTGCACCTTAGCCCAGGAAGAATTTAATTCATAATATCCTCGATGAGATCGGCATAACGAATAGCTTCGCTAAGTGCCTTACCTTGGAAGTACCGAAAGATTCGCTGCTCGATATTCGTCCAGCAGAAACAAATCTTTTGCACCTGGAGTTGATATTGCAAAGTCACATGAGTTTCAGATACCTGGAATACAGGGAACCTACCCGGTGAATCTGTGATGTCACTCACCAAGCTCTTATACTACGATAGCTTATGATGAGTGTACATCTGGACAATGTGTAAGCCACACCGGCTATGATTATGATTTGGTACGCTGCTACGCTGCTAGAATTGATTATCAGGCCACCGCTTATTATGATATCGATATTGTGGATATTATTCATTGTAGAATGCCTAGTATCGGAGATGAAATTAGTCCCTCGATACCAGATGAATACCATTCCTCCTAATGGGACTTCAAGGCTACAGATTATGGTGTAAAATTCCTCAAGTGTTAGATGGGTAGACAGAGTATTCAAAAAGTAACTTCATGTAGTTCGATTGTTCTATAAAGATATCTATACACCTGTAGTAATGGCTATATAGTATACGGGTCATGCAGAGTGCGTGCATGCGGCTAGAGTCTGGGGTTTCTCAGTGGAAGAATGTGCCATCCTCTAAGAGACTAGATGGCCATTCTAAATCCTACAAGGTGGAGCTATTTCTCTATTATCTGTTCACGGTTGACACCTTAGTCTGGTACGAATGTAACGATGACTAGAACTTAAATAGAGTTTGCTGGCGCAGTTTAGTTCGCGTTCGGGCCATCTCCCAGGCACATCGTTTTCGATGGTTACCCTCCGGAGAATTGCTCCTTAACTCTTCACAGTGGAGTACTATCGGACTTGCTAAATAAGGCCTGGCATACCCTTGCTCCCTCACAATGGTTAGAGGGAGCTCGACACTTAGATTAGCTTATTTCCAATATTTTCTCAATCCGTATAGTACTTTTCCAATATATCCCGCAGGCTTACCATGGCTTCTAGTGTATCAGAGAAGCACGGCAGATATTATGCAGAAAGCCTGGAGGGCTGGTATCCTTGGCCAATAGATTCGGTACGTACTTTATAGGTGACACAATACATAATCTGACAGCATGAAGCGAGAGTGTCTACGACAAGGTACAACAGAAACGGTACTCTTGACCACGGTGAAGTATCTAACGGGTGCTTAGAACAACAGTTCGACTTGCAATATCAGTTATTTCAGGGAAGGTTGTCTCATGTGTCGATCCAGATACCTTGAACCGTGCTTGGTATAAGAGCCGGAGTTGGTCTCTGGGCGATAGAATTCGGTTAGTCATTATTATGATGGTGTGCGCAAGCTGTATAATCTCTGGATTTCGTCTTCCTATGCTAGTATTCTGGCTGATAAATCTCTCCAACAGCCAAAAGATACCCATATTCAAAGGTTAGCTCATAGGCGCACTACACAAGATGATCCAATTGGCTCACCACCTACCCAGGTGATCAGCCTTGATTTTATCACGTGGGCGGAGGATCGTGAGTCGACGTGCAACGCATTGATGGAAGATGCCGAGCGTTGTAGGCCGCTGCCAAAAGTCCGATTCATTGTCGATAGCTTTCTCAGTCCACTCTGGTACCAGACCTACACGCAAGTGGATTTTATCCATATAGGGGAGCTTTACGGTGATATCAAGATCTTGAGACGGCTTTTGTCAGGAGCATACCAGTAAGGACCTCCCTGTGAGACTAGTTACCGCGGTATTATCTGACTATCATACTGGAGCTGCTGTGCACCCAATGGAACAATTGAGATCTGTGGCACTAGTGTTCAGTTTGACGATCCGAACGGGGATACAGCTCTCCACCGGTTGTATCGAGATATGAGTAGCGCGTATAAGAAGTCGGGTCGCTGCCTGGAACTTCCATCCAAATACGCATCTGAGGTGAAACGCCATGGATTTGTCCACGTGGCAGAAAGGGCTTACGTCCTGCCTTTGACTACTAAGGGCGATGATGAGCTATTGAACAATATCATTACAAACTGGGCGGACGGATTCGAGGCATACAGTCTAGAGCTGATGAGAACAGAGCTGGGAAAGCGATACCTGGATATCCTCTCTGGTTGTGCGTTTGCCCGCCAATCACTACGAGAAGGTGTGGATGGATATCTAGCAATGTAAGCCCCTCATCCACGTGAATTAAAATGGAAAAGGCTCATTATTAAAAGTTGGATTGTTCACGGCAAGCGAGCACCCTGTGAGGGCCAAAATGGCAGTCAGATTGCAGCCGAGCACTTGTCCTCTTGAAATAGTATATACATATCTAGCGTTTCTTCTCGTCTTCTTGTCTGGGAATAGTACTCTTGAAAGAGCTGGCACAAGGCATTGAATAGTAACTATGGCCTGATAGAATTCCATATCGTTCATCTCCCTACGAATATCTCCGTCGGCCGTGGATAAGACTGTATTACAGTATGAGATGGCCAAACCCATGTCTCTATGACTGATCGTTCTCTGGTACCGGTTTCCATCTGGATTCATAAGTCGGAGTCATTGCCAGCTCAGTAATTATGGTGGACTTTACAGGGAAGCCGGAATATATCAGAAATACAATTATAGAGAAAGCTATTGCATGACATTTGTAACTAATGCAGTAAGACTGCCACTATTAAGGAAGATACTGACACCAGACGGGTATAACTACGGCAGCGCATAGCTGTTCCTGTAGGAGAGCTGAGCATAAACTAATACTACTAGGTTTTCCCTGTACAGCATTCTGTTTACGTAGTCCACTAGAATAGGATATACCAAACCAATATTCTCGGACTGGTAAGAGGCATCCAGCCCTACCTATTGCAATGTCCAAGTGCTGCAAAAGAGTGACATGTACCTGTCGGTGAAACAGCTCATTGGGTGTAAACAACTAGTCAAGCATGGAGAAAAGCGTGAAAGTATTACAATTCCATCCCGTCATTCCAAAATACTGTCATCATAAACACCAGAACAGGGAATACTGTTTGAAAATAATAAAGGGTAAGACAGAAGTGCAAGCAGGAAGCTTTCATATAAGACAGCGCCCAGCCTGGATGATATGCTGTGACATCTGTAATTACTAGCCTTACAACGTGCAAGGTGCAAACCTCTTCATAAATAAAGTTAAAGGAGAGAGCCAGACCAGACTAGAGGCACAAGAGACATAATGTCAGGGACACAACAAGAAAACCTTTGTGCTCCTCAGTTCAACACTCACGAGAACACCCTCCGTTCGAATGAAAGGTTAGTAGCATCTACAACTTACCTTTTAACAGTTGCTGATGCTGCCAAGATGTTTTATAGAAACTCATTCACAACATTATATATCCAGTCCTTCGATAGCCTTGTTAACGGGCGTGCTATCTGGGGCCATAATGAATGACGATACAGATGGTGCACTGCTGGACATAGTTCAGCGACAGTCACGGCCGCTTATTGGAAGCCTAGAGGTCCCGACCTTTTTGACAAGTATCGGTATCAAGCTTTGTCTGCAACATGTCAAAGGATCCAGAGCAGCGGTAGATAGTCATCAGGTGGAGGTATGCGCGGAGGAGCAAACTTTGCATGCCATAATCCGAGGGTATGACGACGAGCTCCCCACGGGGAGAACTATTACAGTTATGAAAACACTTGCTATGCATATCAGGACCTTTTTGCCGATGTTCCCCACCTGGACAAGATTAACATTCGACCCTGCCAGCCCTGTCCGCCAAGCATATGAGTTTCTCTGTATCTGTATCACTGCATGCAACATACATATTGACCTGGGATCACCGAGCATCCAGCGATATAACGAGTTGCGGTGCAGTGGGCTTGCTCATGAAGCAGCACTTCAATATGTGTATTCCGTGCCGTGAAGTACTATGCTGTTGCTAGGTGATGTGGTTGCATTATTGGATAGACTATACCGAGTATTCCAGCAAATTCCATACAATCCAGCTGCTTTCCCCATGGTTCTTCCACTAGTGTCAGATGCATGTACTGTGTGGCTCTACCTCTCCTACCTTTGGCTGTGCTATACATGGCAATCAGAGGATGTTCATTTTAATACCCCAACACTATACTGGTCTCACAGCACCTTGCTCATGGTGTTTCACACGTTGAGCGTGGTAGGTGAAGACGGAAGTCCATCAACGTGGAGGGCATGTCTCTGTATGCTCCGAGGATTCAATATTGCAGCGCATATTGCGCTACAAAGTTTCAGCACATTCCCTGTTTCCGTACACAGCATGTTGGGCATAGGGCCAAGTCCTTGTGAATTTCCGTCGCAGCAACTTCACAGGATGTTTGAACGGGTTTCTGGCGTGGAATTGCTTTGCGGCATCCAGCCACTGTAGTTACGACATAGGTGAGGCAAAGTGATACACTCTGTCCGTCATTACTATCGATTACCTGCAACTCTCATTCTAAAGAAGTGTCGTTGTTCTCATGCAGGGTGCTGTTATGTTTGATTCTATTTCTTACTGCTTCAATTCCCTTACTGGTCGGCCCTGTTACCTTTATGCCAGAGCTTTGCGTTTTCCGTCCCGCCATAGCTAGTATAGTTGGCACCGATTTACTATTTCACTAAGTCTGGCACCACTTGGAAGCTGTATCAGGTCCTGGTACAGCCTCTCTCGAAATCGGTTTGACCATCAAACATTTAATCATTACTTCCTTGCCCCACCGCCAAGCCATTAGCGTGGATTTATTATTGGTGTGTCGGTTTTGAACAATGGGCCGCTGTATTTCTTGTACGGAGTGTCGAGTATGCCACAGTAGTGTGTTTTTACGTGCGCATAATTTTTGCATAACATGCCATGCATAATCTAAGCGTGCAAGGTTCCATGGAACTTGGCGGAAACCAATGGTAGATCATGTGCAAACTAGACGGCAAGTTACCGCAAGGTCGGGTTAATAATATTCCTGACGCGCTCTATATCACGTGATAAGACGCTACGAAGCGCCTTACAATAGGCAAGTAAGCTTGCGATCCTGGCGCCAGATACAGTGACATGGTTGGGCCATTTGCCGTCACGTTCTTATGCATCCAGTTCAGCTGAACCCCGCCCCTGGGCGGCGCATCCATCTCGTCTATCCCTCTGGCTCACCATTCGCCCACTTCAACAACTTATCCGCCCAAACAGCACCCTACATACCTTGCCGCAAGCTGCCATGAGGAAGCTCAGACAGGCCCTTGGGGGAGGACGGAGAAAAGATCAAGCCTGTCCCAGTAATGGAGTCAGTCCGCTGAAATCACCCCAACCGTCCACTGAAGACTCTTTGCCACCTACATTTCCTGACGGCGTCAAAGTTCTCCATAACTGTCCCAACGCTACGGTCGATATCTGTTTTGTCCACGGCTTGACAGGTGACCGAACCACCACTTGGACTGCTCAGGGCCAGGCCGATCCGTGGCCTAAAACGCTTCTTCCGCCTAAGCTTCCCACCGCTCGCATACTCACTTATGGTCATGATGCGTATGTGGTGCGAGGGTCGGTTGCTGGGTCGAATCGTTTAATCGACCATGCTACAAACCTCTTGAACGACTTGGCAGACGACAGAGATGCTATCAACGCATCATCCCGCCCCACAATTTTCGTGGCGCATAGCTTGGGCGGCCTAGTCTGCAAGAAAGCCATCCTGAGCTCACGAAATAACCCCGACTCACACCTTCGGAGCATATTTAATTGTACCAAAGGCGTCGTTTTCATGGGCACGCCACATAAAGGTTCATGGATGGCGGACTGGGCAAAGATCTCGGCCGATGCTCTTGGACTGGTGAAGTCGACCAATAAGTCGTTGATCGATATCTTGCGGGCGGAGAATCAGCTGCTCGAGGCTATTCAAAACGACTTCTTGTCTATGGTCCGAGAACTACGAGAGAACCACCGAAGTCTGGAAGTCATGTGCTTCTTTGAGGAGTTGCCTCTGCCTGTGGTCGGCAAGGTTGTCTCTAAAGAATCGGCAACTTTTGAGGGCTATAATCTGGTCAGCATCCATGCCAACCATAGTGAGATGGTCCGGTTTCATTCCGCAGATGACAACGGGTTTAAACGGCTGGTAGCAGCGTTGGTTCGGTGGGAGTCACATTCGAGGTATCCAGCCACGGCCACCATATTATGTAGTGAGCCTCACTAAATTTACAAGCACTTCACATGATCTAGATGATAAAGACATCCGGTGTCTCAAGAGCCTATGGCCTACCAACCCTGAAAATGAGAAGATACGGATCTAGCAGACTAAAGGAGGTCTCTTGGAAGATGTATATCGCTGGGTCCTTGAGAACCTAGCCTTTAGACAATGGAGAGATGACGAAAAAGCCCGACTTCTTTGGATTCGAGGTGACCCTGGCAAGGGTAAGACAATGCTAGTCTGTGGCATCATCGATGAGCTGCGGAAGTCGATCAGCGGCTCAAATTCTTCATCATTTTTCTTTTTCCAAGCCGCTGATTCACGTATCAATAACGCCACGTCAGTTCTTCGCTGCCTCATCCGTCAGCTTGTCGACAAACACCCATCGCTTATCTCACACCTACGAAAGCATTACGATCAATACGAAGACGCGATTTCTTGGTATACACTGTCTCAAGTATTTACCGACATCCTCGAAGATCAAACTATGCCGCGCACCTTCCTGGTGATTGACGGTCTTGATGAGTGCCAGGCCGGTCTTTCGGGTCTTCTCCACAAGATCATGCAAGACTGGTCGTTATACTCCCACGTTAAATGGCTCGTTTCGAGTCGCAACTGGCCTAGTATCAGGGAACGACTAGGCACTGCGGAGCAATTGTCCCTTGAGTTAAATGCTGCATCCGTCTCCACTGCCGTCGGGCTATATATTGATTATAAAGCCCGTGAAGTAGCAACGCGGAAAGAGTATAATGACCAGACCCAAAAGGCAGTTCAGCAATATTTAACTACAAACGCAGACGGGACATTCCTCTGGGTTGCGTTAGTCTGCCTCTATTTGGAGAACGTGCGATGGGACCCTATTGCTAAAATGAAAACGTTTCCTCCTGGCCTTGATTCTCTGTATCGACGCATGATGCAAGAAATTCGTGAATCAGGTGAGGATGTGCTGTGTTGGGAAATACTCGGCTTCATGGTAACTGCTTATCGTCCTATGAAGCTAAAGGAACTGGCATCTCTCAGTGAGGTTCTGGCAGATCATTCCAACGACCCAGAGACTCTGGAAAAAGCCATGAGTCTATGTGGATCCTTCTTGACAGTTCGTGAAGGAACCGTGTACTTTGTACACCAGTCCGCCAAGGATTTTCTTTCAGGAAAGGCTTCTGGCGAGCTCTTTCCTTCGGGAATAGAGTTGGTCCATCATACTATTTTTTCAAAGTCGTTATCCAAAATGGAACTGGCTCTGCGCCGTGACATTTATTCTCTCCACAGTCCGGGATTTCCTATCGACAAAGTTAAGCGCCCTCAGCCAGACCCATTAGGCTCTGTGCAGTATTTGTGCATCTATTGGATCTACCATTTGCATGATGCTCGTCATATCGCAGCACGAGAGCACTCTCAAACTTGCGACAAGATCTATGATTTCTTGTCCAACAAGTATCTTAATTGGCTGGAGGCTCTTAGTCTTCTACAAAGCATAACACAGGCGATTAGTTCAGTGTCAAAACTGGAGGACTTGGTTCAGGTAAAGCACTTACCTACTGATATTGTCTCATTTTGCTGACATTAACATTGCAGAAGAAATGGTCAGGATGTTCCGATTTAGCTAAACTTGTTCATGATGCCCACCGATTCATTCGCTACTTTAAGGGGGCCATAGAAATCAGTCCTTTGCAAGTGTATTGGTCCGCACTCTTGTTCAGTCCAGCCTGCAGTATAATACGGCGACAATACGAGCATGAGCAGCCCCAATGTTTCCTATTTAGACCAACTATGGAGGATAACTGGAGTGCTTGCCTGCAGACGCTCAAGGGCCATACCGGCTGGGTCAGCTCCGTGGTCTTCTCGGGGGATTCCAAGATGGTCGCCTCGGCATCAGATGATGAGACCGTCAAGATCTGGGATGCCAACAGTGGCCATTGCCTGCAGACGCTCGAGGGCCATAGTGACCAGGTCAACTCCGTGGTCTTCTCGGGGGATTTAAAGGTGGTCGCCTCGGCGTCTCGTGATGAGACCGTTAAGATCTGGGATGCCAGCAGTGGCCATTGCCTGCAGACGCTCGAAGGCCATAGTGACTGGGTCAACTTTGTGGTCTTCTCGGGGTGTTCCAAGATAGTCGCCTCAGCGTCAGATGATAGAACCGTCAAGATCTGGGATACCAGCAGCGGCCATTGCCTGCAGACGCTCGAGGGCCATACCGGCCGAGTCGACTCCGTGGTCTTCTCGGGGGATTCTAAGATGGTCGCCTCGGCGTCAGGTGATAAGACCGTGAAGATCTGGGATGCCAACAGTGGCCATTGCCTGCAGACACTCGAAGGCCATAGTGACTGGGTCAACTTTGTGGTCTTCTCGGGGGATTCTAAGATGGTCGCCTCGGCGTCAGGTGATAAGACCGTCAAGATCTGGGATGCCAGCAGTGGCCGTTGTCTCCAGACGGTACATGCTGGAAGTTTTGTCGAGGTCAAATCATTCGATCTAACCAACTGGTATCTTGAACTTAATAGAAGCGCCATTCACTTATCCTTAGGCTCATGTGGTACACCAGTTAAGCCCACTCCCGAAGCACCGACATTCCAGGGGTATGGAATCAGTCATGATCGAGTGTGGATCACCTCGGACGCAGTAAATCTGTTATGGCTACCCCCAGAGTACCGACCTCGTGCCTTCGATACTACCCAATCAGGTATTTGCCTCGCCTGTGCAACCGGACGAGTGTTGATCTTCAATATTGGTTCCTAAAGAATTCCACACTTCCTTACCATGTTCTAAATCCAGTTTTATAAGTCCTTCTTTTTTGTAAAACAATACTTATCATTGTAGCAGCTTCCTATACAATATAACGTGGCGGTTATAAGGGTGTTATATGGTAATGTTTGCGTCGCCGTGTGCGGATATTCAAACTGAGAGACAAGCTTTCGTAATACAGTACCTTCCTTCATTCTGTATTATTTTCTAATACCTTTGCAAAAGGAGGGTCTGGGTTCTTAGGTGCATTAATATGGAGGATGGGAATTGCCACGCGTGTGACTTTAAATATATTCCATGGATTTCCGTGCCATTCCACTGGGATTCCGAAACCAAACTGCACTGTACCATCCATACTATACCAGGGAATATTTCTTGTGTCGTGATTTAACGCGACCCCTTAAATAATTTGCAGGGACTAGCGCCTTGGCAGTGGGGCAAAGAAGTAATGGTCAAATGTTTGTTGGTCAAACCGATTTCGAGAGAAGCTGTATATTTTCTGTTTGCTTTATCTATCTCACAACCACTGTTCACCTGCAAGACTTATGTCAATTAACCACTTTTGCCAATAGAGCGACACTACTCTTCATCCTGGCTCTCTCTTCTTTTGGCTAAAAGACAGTCTCCAAACACGATGTGGTCACCACTAGCTAGGACAAGCACATGTCAAGCCTGGAAGCCAAAATCCAAATCGAGCTAGGAACAGTCGTAAAACTAAATAATCCCGAAAGCAGAAAGAAAACCAATACAGAAACTGATGTTGAGCAAATATGACTAATCTAATCTGTACTCCCACTGGCGTTAGAGAGGTTTGGATTCAATGTGTCGCCTCATTGGCTGCCTTAATAGTTATATAAGCTACAGTCCTTACACAGCAATTCAACACCAACAAGCATAGCAGCGTGTCACATATTAACACGTTTCAGTAGCTCTGTGATAGTATCGGTCATTGCCTTCATCTGCTGTTGATGCTGTTCGATCATAGTCCTGATCGCGTCCTCAGATCTTCTGTCTTGCTGTGTATTAACACTTCGCTTTTCCTTATCGGGGTACTGGCTCCGAACAGCATACTTGCGACGGACAGCCCAGCTGTCATCACTACTAGAGGTACCGACCGACCCCAGCACCGCCGCATTTTTATGCGCGCTCTCTACGGGAGCTCTCTCTGGTCCAAGGATCGCTTTGAATCTTGGCATGGTGGCCCATGGGGGCGTTATATCTAGCTCCTGGTAGAATCGATTGATCTCGGCATCTGCAGTTCTTGCCCCTAGAACCTTTCTCAGTGTAGTTCGGCTGAGAATGTTGGTACTGCCATTCTTGAACTGAATGAGACCAAAGGCCCTTGGAAGGCTCCCGCGAGTCTCTGGGTTCCATTTCGCGGACAACACATTATCCCAGCCTAAAATCCGATCATAGGCGGTGCGATCAGCCTTGCTATACCGCTCCTGTGAGCGACGCACATCATTCTTCTCCTCATCGGGCAGAGCGAGGTATGCTCTTGCCATATCGCCATTCACATCACCATCTTTCTTGATAAGAATTCCGGTAGCATATCTTGGACTCTTTACGACAAACGACGGCCCGCAAAATCCGCTGCTGGGTATGTATCCAATGATTTGTTCGGCAGCTTCATGATCCCGCTGGTTTTGCGTCTGAGCTTCTTCAGAGTTGACCGCCATCCCTGGAATATCTGGTAACCGCCACAATTCCGGGTAGTAGTGCGTGTTCTTCATATGATCGAACTGCTTTTGTATTTTTGTTAGGTTCTCAACATTGTTTCCGCCCCTTTGGGCAGCTGTCTGGTAGTTATTGGCGAATCCATACAATAGATTGATTTTAATCAGTCCTTCGTCTTCGGGGCGGCCTGATTGTTGGTTTATTTTCCTAATCTTCTTATTAAGCTTACCAATCCCTTTCTTCCCCGACTCGCGTGCGATGTCTTCGTGAGCCTCTAAATACCGATTAACTAGCTCTGTGGCTTCGCTATAGACCCGCACTACTTCCACGTCAGGCTTGGGCAGTGTGTGTTCGTCCTCTGACGCGGCTTCTGACTCGTCCCCGGCCGCATTGTCCGCAAATGCCTCGCCGAATACCTTCTCTGCGTTTCGAGTCCGGTCTCTTTTATATTGATCACCAATTAAATCATATTCAGCTCGTGATTTCGGGTTGTGGAGCACGTCATAAGCCGCTGACAATTCTGGATAGATGGCGATTAGTTCAATATTGGTAGATAAGATATGGAAACATAGCCGGTCTAGATAGGGACTTACTTTGGAACGCAATCGGTGCATCATTATATCTGTTTTGGTCAGGATGTGTTAGGAGGCCCAGTTTCAGATAAGTCGAACGGATTTCCTCCCGCGTACAATTCTCCTCGAGTCCCAGTATGCCGTAATAGTCTTTATCATGACACTGCTGGATCCTTGTTGTTTGCTGTCGCTGATCGAGACGGTAAAATCTGTTTTGTTGGCTCTCTGACTCTGCGCTATCCGTGTGTCCTACGGTATTGTCCCTATCCATCAATGCGTCTCCGTCACTGTCAACATTTGAATTGGAAAACGACCCTTGTTCAAGAAGCGTCTTCTCACGCTCGCGCTTCCTTCTGGCGCTTTTTCCCATTATTCCCGTTGAGGAGGATTATTAGAAAACCTTTTACCAGTTTACTTTCCCCTTCCCTGTATATCCGGAAGTGAGGAAGTGAGCTCGAAAGACGATTTTTGCTCTGGGAGGAAACAGTAAAGCAGGTATGAAGCGGTTTACTTATACCTTATTCTCGCACTTGGACACCCTAATGAACGTTGAGCTTCTCGCATAAAGCTAGTTGAAGAAGTTACGATTACCTATGAGAAGAGGCGGTATAATAGTTGTCTCTTAGTTCCTGACTTGCATGTCTCCCAGTCGCATTAAAACCAACATATTAGTGGAAACGCAATGTTACGACCTGGAGGAATATGGTGGGGGCATGTCCTGTGCAAGGCTGGTCCATTGCAGGCTTCCAAGTTATCCTCAGTGTACGGTACGGTATACCATCCCAAGACGAACGGTGTACTAAGGCTCGCCCTAGGAGGGCACGATTGTGTGGATACCGCTACTTAGACCAAATAGTACGACTATAGGAGCTGGGTTTCTTTTACGATACAATCTAGTGAAAATTCAGCTATACAGCAGTAGGGAATGTGTGATGGTAGCAACATAAATACTATCATATAACACCCGTTTAAAATAATAAGACTTGTGTTTTTATATGGAACTTCAACCATGACAAGAACGAGAAATTTAAAGTTTCAGAACAGGAAAAGGGACCCTTCAAACTTCAAGGGATGGAATTGAGTCTATCGTGATGAGTTTATTATTTGGATCAAAAAGCGGACTGGATAGCTATCCCTTTCCAGGAGAACCACTTTCCTAGACAGTCTCGGTCTACGTTGAATAAGAGCAAGATATGAATGAAGAACGCAAGGCAAAAGACACGAGACCTATCAGATGGCCCTTGCACCACCGAGTTTCCGTCAGCAGTGGATGCTACTCTGTATCAATACATGGATATTTGGAAGTCGCAGGGTATAAAGCACTCACCTCTCGGAGTACTTTTATCGGGGTATCTGATGTAATAGTGGAGAGAAAACTGATTGCAAGCGAGTCATCAGGCCATCGTTCCGTATTAGATTGCCTAATTATATTATATTTATCTTCATACTTTTGCATCAGTTCCATTGTGATTGCCTTTAAGGCCTGAGAATAATGTGGGGCTTGATGTGCGCTCGACGGTACACATACTTCGAGGGCGCCTGTGAAACAGCCTTAGCCTTGATCTACAGAACGAAGGTTATTGGACCGACCGATCTTAACCTCTCCTCTCTCTGTTGCTAAGATATTGACAGTCGTCAATTGTGGATGCTCAAGCCGCTGACTTGAGAGATATAGAAGTCCTTCGACGACCTTCCAGTTGTTATTTCTGGTCCTATAGGCTGTAACATGAAATGGGCGTTTATAGACTTACCTGGGCTAGGACCGCAGCAAGCTCCGTTTCGTTTAAGTGAGCTTCGCAAGCAACGAGGTGGTCCAACGAGACGGGAATATAGTCATAGAGGAGGAAGACTGACCCCTGATACAAAAAGCATTCTTGACAACTGTGTATACTAGAGTGTTGTAGGCGTTGAAAGAAGCGGGGTATCTCGTTGATGTCTTTCCTCTTGATCGACTTGATTGCCACAAGTCGCCCGGGATGAACCCGCGGTATGGCTACTTCAAGGGGACCATCTAGGTTGCAGTCATAGACCTTCCTATAAGTTTCCCATGGTGACTCCTTGCGGATGATGAAAGCCAGGTGGGATGGTCTCGCCAGCTTAACTGTCTCAAGGAGAATCAGATCCCGCTTCTGTCCACATATTCGCTTTTTGTAAATGTTTGGCCCTGCAAGCACTGGACTCTTGTACGGTGGGTGAGGCTGGGCGAGGTAGAGCACGTCCTCTGCTTGGATGATCGGTGCCCCGTTGGGCTCGGCTAATCGTACTCTGTGCATTGAACAGATCTTGTTCATTAGGATGTAGACAATGGGAGCTAGTACAATCTGGCTGTCTATTAGAGGAAAAGAGGAGGCTAAATCTAAATGTCCCTCCCCTTGGAAGTCAACTCAACAATAAGATCGGCGCATGCATTAATATGACTAGCGCACCACATTTAAGCGAGCAGAAAATAACTATGTATCGGAGACCGTCTGGTTCCCAAGTCGTAATTAAGTCCGATGCTCCCTCTCCCAGCAGCTCCTTCCTTTACTATTTATTATTTCTCTTGCAACCCTTCTTGCGGCCAATATAAGCGATATGGAGTCTCTCTCACTTACGCGAAGGGAAACTCAGGTGGCAGCTGAAAGACAGCTCAAATTCCTAGGCACCGCCAAGGTGAATCTAGATGAAATTAGTTTCGATCGATATTCACATCGACAGCTCGACCAAAGGAATGTTGATCGCCTGTGCAACCTCTTTTACAATTAAGAATGCCGGAACTTGATGTTGGCCCATCGTATACCCGCAATCGTCTCACAAGAGCATCTCGACGCGGCTCTTCAGAAAGCACTGCCAGGTGCCACCGCACAATCTTTACGTACAAGCCCAGAAACCCACTTTCCCCATCTAAGATTTCTCCCAGGACAGCTCCAAGGGCTCCATGGACGGCACCGGGCTGCAGCCGGCTCGAAAGTTTTGTCGCCAGGCTATCGTTGGTGGGCAGTTGATCTGTATCTGGATGGTATAGCTCACACTCTGGTGGGCTAGAAAGCCACTGACAGCGACATGATGCCTAGATATTGGGAATGATTTGAGAACGACTCTAATCGAAGAGCACTCCAATCAGCAGCGCCCAAATGATGGGGAGATTTACCACAAAATCCGTCAGTATGCGGCAGACGGAAACCTTGATGGGGAGCTGCGGTGGAGGGCACGGCTGAGTTCAAACTGTCTAAACCGCTTAGATGCGCTCAGTAAGAATACTCGCCTCCAACAGGCTTTTGATGCGGTTCTTCAAATCCCGGGACATAGAGCGGCTATGAGCATCAGTATGCTCCCTCGCGTGCTAGCAGTCAAATGTGACGAGGTGTGTTTAGGTAATTCCTCACGAGTGCCCCTTCTAACACAACGCGAACTAGGAGATCACCCATTACTTGAACCACGTGAGGAATTTCTGGCTTTCTCTTGTGAACAACAATCCCATCTCAGTTTCCAAGATAGACCAGCGGATAGTTGAAAGCCTTCAGCTGATGGCTCCCCGTGCTGAAGCTGAATCCGTGGAAGTAGAAGGGCTGGTCATGAGCGGCCAGGTTTTCACGGATTTTGGCGCGCATGAGCGCGAAGCAATCTGGGTGAATCTGCAGTCTTTTACAGGAATCGTTCCATCTCTGTACACTTTCTTTGATGACTTTAAGTGCTTCGAGAGCTGGGCCCACTGTTTGACTCGACTCTTACCCTGCACCCAATCCACAGTGAGGCTCACAATGAACAGTCTGCATGCATCATCCAGCGACAATTTATGCATGATCCAAACATCTGAATACAGCTTCTCCGAACGAGCTATGCCTGGCGATGATCAGTTAGAGGTTGCTTACCGGCAGCTGTGGCTGTACGCCATGCGCCATTACCCGCAAATGCCCCGGGATCCAAAACGAAAAGAGCGGCTAGCCCGATCAGCGAGCGCCACCGCAAACGAGCGTGTTGTATGTGACATGGGTCGATTAGCCCGTCGGTTGGGTTTCGATTCAGGCAAGATCCAGGAACTAATAGGACAAGCTCCTGACCGGCTGATCGCGAGAAATGCTCTGATTCAGGCTCGTGATCCGGAAGCTTTTGAACATGATAGTCCCACTGTTGATTCTATCGTGGATCAAATTATCGATTGTTTTGACATGCTCCGCCCGAAAGGCGTTGTTAGCGCACCACCAATTTCTGTGAGCCGCTCGGTGCCCCGCAAGTTTCGCAGTGGACACCCTACGCTGAAAGACCTCATGCATGATCGTTCACTTCTCTTCCTAGATAATATACATGCTGCCACAGCCCCAGGCCGGGTTACAACAGCCTTCGTTCGACGCTGTGTCTATTTGGCGTTCTTCGGTCCCCACCCCCCCCCTTGGTCAAACTGCCAATCTCGTTTATCGTCCTACGCCACTTTTGCTTGTGCCAGGGAGCCAGCCTGGCGAGATCCACCATCACCGGGATCCCTTGCAGCATATGTGCAATAGTAGCGATGGCTTTAGGCAGCACACACAGATATCGGGTTCGATCTCACCTTTAATGCATGTCAATCACGGCGGTCCGCAAAGCCATACTGCTGTGGGGCCCGTAGCTAAACGAAGAGCATCACAAGCAGATCTGGGACGTATTCAGCAAGAAGCAAGGTTCCAAGAAAGCACGTCGCAGACAGCAGAGAGTACTTACCTACAAATGAGAAGTGAGGATATAACTCAACAACCACAACAACAAACGCGCAGCACGATGGCAATCATTGCTACGGAAGGGACAATCAATGCCACTGGAGACCCATGCATACAAAAGGGTCGCGACTTGCACTGTGAAGCCATGGAGGGGATTTCTGATATCGGTGTCACAATAGGGGCTACTAACAATATGTATCAGCTAGAAAACGATCAAATAGCCCTCAGTCCTAAGGGAAGTCTATTGAAAAGCTCATATACAGGCAAGATCAACATCGTGTTCTATGTATACGATGAGCACTCCCACTGGAACATCTCCGCGGTACTCCGAGTCAACCCGTCCGAACCTAATAGTGTGTCTGAATTTAGGCGGGCCGTGCAGAGATACAAACAGCGAGGTATCACATTATGTGATATGAAGATGCGATCAGTCAGCATATCATCCTGTTTAGTGGCAGCAATGGCGGACGGGCAGAATGTACTGCTCTTGTTTCCGCCGGGGACACGACAACTGTGCCAATCCCCAGCTATCCCTAGCGGGCTGCCAGTACCCGATATTAGCTAGGAGGGGGCCTCCCATATTTTATCTTGACAAACAGCAACTATTCTAGGTATAGTATGATAGTATGACCTCTCAACCTAGATCTAAACTATCCCGACTATTATGTGTTCAGAGATGTTCAAATAGTAAAAGTAAATATCTGTATAATGGCTTCATTGCTTTACTCTATTTAAGGTTATAATTATAGTCTAGAGAAGGTTCGGTTAACATTGAGATTGTACTTGCGATTGAGTAGGTTAATATAATATAAACTAACATATATTAGACATTGAACATGAAGTGAATAACCCCTATTCCATTCAATGTAAAACGCTGATAGTAATACAAATCCAGCCAATATATCTAAGTATAGATCCCATTATATGAATTATTAGAGTATTTACAAATAAATTCATCCAAATTTTAGCTTATCCTGACTTTCTAATATTACTCCTGATTTGGCAGTGTTAGTAGCTTAATAAGTTAGTGCTATATTGGAGAAGGTTGCAGTACGCAACAATACTATTGTTATTGCAGTGGCGGCCAACTCTAAACTTTCGAGTATATTAAATTATTAACACATAAGCGCCATGAGGGAGATTAGAAAGGGCCAGACTCCACTAAATCTAAGAGGTGTGTTTAACAGTAAAATTGGGGAAAATAATAATAATAAAAAATTATAAAAGCGAGGGAATATATATTTACTTAATAGAGAGACAATATATCGATTAGTAGAGGGAGGTTACGATCGGTCAATGAAAATAGCCTGCTAGAGGGAGAAAAAGAGATCAGAGCAAATTCCAGAATAGAATACGTCTTCCATAGCTTTAACTGCTGTCTTGTATCTGCTGTCTTGTATCTGCTGTCTTGTCTCTGCTGTCTTGTCTCTGCTGTCTTGTCTCTGCTGTCTTGTCTCTGCTGTCTTGTCTCTGCTGTCTTGTCTCTGCTCTCATGTCTCTGTTGTCTTATATCTCCTTTTATAGCATACGCACATGTGCTTTATAACCAGATAACATACCTGGATATTACACATATGCACAATGGCTAGATATAATACTTAGGTCTACTGTTTAAACTCGTCACTTGCATACAATATAAAGATGCTAAACCCAGGTATGCTCTCTCGGTATAAAGCTTAGATACGATTTATAGGTGCAAAATATAGAGACAAGACTTAAGTTTAATATTTAGGTTCGATACTAGACCCATACTTGGATACGATGTTCAGATAGGATATTAAACTACGCTATATAGAGACAATACTTATGTATTTTATTTATAGTATGTATGATCACTAATTGCGGAGTTTATGGCTATTTTATATATAAATTTTATTTATGCCTTCATATTATAGTATGATTGCCATACAACTCTGAGATTTAATTCTTGGATTAAAAGCTTTTCGCTCATTATCTATATCGGTACTAAGCAGTACACAGGTCAGTTTATACTATTTACTGATATATAGTATGATTTCCTTAAATGTTGACATACTGTTGTGGGCGGCTAAGCATTTTCTGGGTTTTATCTCGCGTTATACACTAGTCTTAATACAGAACTATCCGGTACATACCTAGTCGAACACATTAATCTGTATCTCACTTAGCATTACTTCAAGATCTAACCTTGTTATGAAAAATGTCCATATAATATAAGCCTTAGTTTAATATATATATATTGTATATATTACATATAACACGGTTATATTTGATAACTGCTAGTGCTTTAAATCTTACTGGTACGGAGTGCACTATAATGCAAAGATTATTCTAAGAGAAGGCCAGGGGCCGGGGCTAAAATCTGGTGTTTAGATATGCAATGTTCAAATATCTATCTTCTCTGTGCATTGCCAGTTAGCTTGTCTATTTCCTATACCAGTTGAATCGTTCCCCCTAAAGACCAGCTGTGTAAACCTAAACCTAACTGAGAGCGGGATAAGAACCTGGAATAGGATTCTTGATCCGCTGATAAACCCCCCTCTCGACCATCTCAAACTCATGGCCTCTATCTCCTGCTAGCTGTGCCTCGCTGTATGACTCTCCAGTTTCCTTACTAGTAAAAATGTACATTTCACCGTAACCATAACCTGGCTTGCCATATTTCACTTCCCACCCTTTTCTTAGCTTCCATTCAGGTGTGAAAATCTCCTTGTCCTTTGTACACTGCGGAAGCCCTTTGCGAACTTTGAAAGTGAATTCATCCTGATGCTTAAAGCACATTTCCTTTTTAGGTCTTTTCTTATTCCCTGATAGTTTATTAGAATCTCACTCAGTGAACTCCTGCACAATGTTACTTACATATCCAGGTGCTGAAAGGCCAGAGCATGACTTTAAGATATTTGGACCAATGAGAACAGGTTTCGGCTTAATCAGGTCTGCGATAGGGTTTTGCCCACAGCCTTATTTCCGTAGGATGATCCTGTTGCTAGGCTGTCCCACAGAGTGTTTTTTTAGGCAGAAACTTAGATAGTGATGAGTTTGAGCATTCAATAATAAGCTCCAATAAGCACACCGAGAGATTTTATACAGTAACAGACGAAGGCAGCAGTCAATAGTGGATGTACAACTAGCTCTATGTTCTGCCACCATAAAGATGGGAATATAGGTTTAAAATTCGAGAATGATTTTGTCTCAAGGAAATCATTGTTGTAAGCTTATTACGGTTGTGGGCGACCGTGCAACGAGGCGGTGCACCGGATATCTGGTATGTTTGAGTTTTTCTGGAGATCTAGAGAAATAGGTAAGAATGATTTTATATTACTGTAGCATCGCTTGAAGCATCAATCACCATTACAGCTAGAAGCCTGGAACATCACGGGGTTTATCGTATAACGCGTGATACACTAGACTTCAAGCGATTTAGTATGTATGTCACGTGATAGTACCGATTATTAGCAATACAATATGAACAACTGAAAATATATAATTGTACTGTAATGTACTCTACTTCTCGTTTTCCTCTTAGAAGTTGGAATATTAATTTCCTATGTTGAAAAAAATATATCACAATCTCAAATTGAGACTAATATTATATTATATTACAATATTAGAGATAGAATATAGGGTGCAGCACTCTGAGTCGTAAACAGATCTCGTTCTTTTTAAGCAAAATAAACATGTCGATATCCTTAATTCCTCTCAGCTTTCAGGCATCATTATGGACGGAAGACCCCACATTATACGATATGCGGATTTAGAAGGATGTTCCTATTATTGACTGGTATTTCTGCGATGAATGAAGTATGTCTATTAGGCATACTATAGTCTTTCCTTAGACGACCCGGAGAGGACTATGTCACTTATTATCAATCGAGATGGATCTGCTGCCCCATTGATGGTACCAGGGGAGGAGATATTTAAATATTTCTAGCCCGCGCTAGTTATACTGCCCGGTGCCGCTGAGTGCCCAGTAGATAAAAGGCTCCTAAATATCTCCGTTGAAGAGTTAATACCGGCCACAACACTTTAAATTGAGATCCTCAGTATGGAAATTTACAGAGGAAATGAGAACTATATATCTGGTTCTTTGATCAGGGCAGGGGGAAAGGGCTGTGCCTATGATGGAGAGGAGTGGATGGCTGCTGCAAGCAACGTTGGAGCCTGTCAAAATGGAGCATATCTGGGTGAACGCCGGATGTGGGAAGGGTGGGGAGAAAGTTAGGCATGTCGCTATATAGATAGGTCTTACAAGGATCAATAGTACAATTTAAATATAGTATTGGGTTTGGAGTCTTTTAATAACAGCTGGAGCGTAGCTAATACTTAGACCAAGTCTGTATGTTAATTTCTACACTATTTAAGACTAACCTGAATTTTAAATAGCTTTTTTCTTTTTCGATTAAGCGCTCGACCCAGCAATAGACGAACACTAGGCAGTAAGCATATACACTTGTGTCTTATTATCCAACAAACAGGATCAATGTACCTCATTTTGGGTGCAATTGTGACCATGATCATGCGATTTGGGACACATAATAAAGCCACCATTGGGTCCTTCAATATATGTTATCACTCCACAAAATATGAATCCATCAGCCAGCTTGCTCGCTGGGTCACTATTCGTGATCTTGTAGATGATACGATCTGAACCTGGATCATTGCTTCCATCACCTCCAAACATACGACCGCTCGGGAGGATTGGAAACTCCTGGAATGTTTTATCAACATCAGCACAATTAAGGAAATGAAAATCTTCGCTGTTTTTAAATTCCTTCGGATACATAATTCCTGTTCAAGGGCATAAGAATCAGTTTGTCAGGTTCTCTTGGAGGGAGTAGGCTTACCGTTACTGCCGTTCATTGCTGTCCCCGTTAGATCACAGCTTTGAGCAAGTTGAAATGCCTCGGCTTGAGCTGCGGTGGTGTAGAGACCTTGGTCTAATAATTGTCAGTTGGTACATGTTCATTGAAAGGATCCTTTACTGGAGAAACGGACCGCTGCATATGCGGTCGTTGTATTGACGTTCAAAAATAGATTTCACAAGACTGACGCCTGTATCCTCTAAGGGAAAGGCACTAGACACCTTGGCTAGAGTGCTGAGTCGTACAATAAGCATCAAAATAATTGGAAAATACATAGTTGGTATAGGGTTAGTTGAACCTCTTAAAGAATGATTGTTGAGTTAATGTAAGTTTGTACTTGATAGGTAAAAGGTATAGAGATATTCAAATGCACGAAATGATGAAAAGACAGATTTAATTTACTTTATACCACAGCCTCTTCACTATTATGATTACATTATGGGGTATATTTGGTGTACCTCTTGGCAGTCCCTTTGCCAACACATTGTGTCTGTTATAAGTCCACAATTTTACCTCGCGCCCGGTTCTAGATTGGACTGCCTGTCTCTAGGCTCTGCATCCATGGTACCATAGAGTATGTTGCCCTTCCTCGAAACACCATTTATTATTAGCCCTTCTAAGCATGTTTGTCAGACAACTTTCAGCGGTTAGTATCAATCTACATTGCCGCTAGCAGTCTATGTAAGGATAGACGCCATAGAGCCCAGTATCCAGAGAAGTGCTTTGATCCGCATTAGTTAATTTACAAGGTCGGTTTATGTAAACTCAGTGTGTAAGACATTTCTAGTCTATGGGACAATGGAAGGGACTCTCTACAGGAATATAACTTCTTCCTCTATGACAAATATTGGGAACCTGGCTGGGAAGGAATGTTATAATACAGAATATAAACACTATATCATAGGATATCCGGAAAAGTATATCAAACTAGATGGGAAGCTCACATTGGTTCAGAATACTAAGTAAACCTTTTATCCATAACATAAGCTAGAAGGTCGGCAATATCTGAGTATCCCCAATACCGTGCCGCTTCCAGTGGACATCGATATATTCCGCTGTTAAGCACTGTCCGGCTGTCAGAGACCAACTGTTTTACAATACCACGGTGTCCATTAGAGGCCGCCCACCAGAGGGGCGTACATCCATCAAAGTCAGGAAGATTTACGTCGATATCACGGCACTGGAGGAGATAATTAACCACATTACCGTGCCCGGCGGAGGCGGCTTGGGCTAGTGCGGTCATCCCTAATCCAGTGCGGAAGTTTAAGTTCGTGTTGTGTCGACGCCGACGGAGCAGTTTGATAATCATGATGTAGCCGAGTCTAGCCGCTATACCCAGTGCCACTTCAATCTCAATAGCAGGAGATGAGAGAAGAATTTTGACCATGTAAATGTCGCCTCTGTTCACTGCCGACTCTAGTGGTGTTTCGTCACTCCCGTTAGAAATATTTATATCGAGTCTATCATCACTGAGCAATAGCTTTGCCAAATCATAGTTTTGATTCTTAACTGCATGGTGGATAGAGGTTGAGGAGTCCTGGCCTATAGTATTAATATCCACATAGCTCTGGGCTATCAGCTGCTCGGCAAGAGAGGGGTGATTCTTCTTCGTAGCCCACCATAAGGGAGTTTGTCCGTGATTGTCTCTGGCGTTTATCTCCACGCCGGGTTTATCAACAAGAAGCTTCGCGACCGACTGATGTCCGTATCGGCTAGCTATATGTAGAGCTGTATGTCCATCATTGTTTCTAATGTTTAGATCGATGTCTGGATGATTGAGGAGCAGCTTGAGAAGCTCGCAGTCGGCATTCTCTGTCGCGAGGTGCAATGCAGACTGGCCACAGTCAGTGCTGCTATTGACATCAACTGGAGTCGAGAGTAGAAGACGGACAATATTAATGTTGCGGACGCGGGTGGCAATATACAGAGGCGGCGATTTATCATATATCTCAAAATGACCATCCATTCCGCGAAGTTCTAGGTCAATTGAGCGACACTTTAGAAGTTTATGGATAATCGATAAATTACCACCAAGGATGGCTCGGTGGAGTGGTGTCATTCCGTGCAAATCCTGCTTGTTCACGTTGATGTTTTCGCTCTGAAGTAACAGAGTTACCATTTCTTCGCTATCCCGGCGAATGGCATAGTGCAGAGCAGTATTGTACCAGAGGTCCTGAATGTTGACGTCAAGATGGTCCCAAGAAAGGAACCATTTGACTACATGAGATTTCCCAGCCATCACAGCATGATGCAACGGCGCAAGTCCACGTATGAGTGAGTTGATATTGGCACGATAGGAGCACAGTATGGAGAGGAGTCTTAGATCCCCGTAAGATGCTGCCCAGTGAAGCGCAGAGCTGTCCTGCCATTTAATATTAAATATATAGAGAGTGTGCAGAAGTCGTTTATGTAGATTGGGATGTGTGAGGCACAGAGAAAGAATATCTCCTCCTTTCTCTAGACTGTCCACAACAGGCAGCAAAATTTCGGTGGGGAGGATCAGAAGCGACATCATCGACGATACTGTGAAATCAGAAACAAAGAAGAATAATGAGGAATCTGGTTACTGTAATGCCACGGATATGGTTCCAGCAGAGAAAAATATTTTTGTTTTTAGAAAGACAGCTTGACTAAGCACTTAAGTATCGTTATTTATGGCCGACCCAGCTACTCCCTAGCCACAGTAGGAACAGTATGCAGATTCTATTCCATTATTGGAGGACTCCAGTCGGAGCCCATCTAAACCGAGAATGGATAGCATTCCATTTTTGCTCTTTTCTTTCCATTACCTGAATAGCATCCCAAGAATTTGTCTAGACTGACATGTACTATGGGAAGCTAATAACATTGAACATAGATCCATAGGACTGATAACGCTTTAAACTAATTAGGAATCTAGGACTATCTACCAATTTCAGTATGTACGTTCTAATATTAGCAGAGTACCCTTATAGAGTCCGCCAAATTAGCAGCCTGTTAGAACTTACCCACCACCGTAGATGTTACCCCTTAAAACTCTACACACTAAACTGGAACTAGCCTCTGAATATCCAATAGTAGTATTTCCTTAACTTGAAACTACAGCACTACCTGTATAATACGAAAAATGGCTATTGACAGGAACTAAAGGCCGAGCCTGGAAGCTCAAATACCAGTTCTGCATCAGTTCAAATAGAGAATGGCAAATCTTACCTGAACGTTCCATGGTGATCTTAGTCCCCACTATGTCACCTGCACATATATATATAAATGCAGCTGATAGGACATAGACAAGAAAAATAATGGACTAGAGAGCCTAAGCCTTGCTAGCTCAGGACACCAAATCTGCTTAGAATAGCCTCTCGTGGCTTTCATTTTCCTAACTTGTTTCCTAAAACCCATTTCGAAAGTCTCCTAAATACAGCAAAAAATTGAATACCTATCAAGGAAAGGCGTGATGCCGGCACGGGGACCTGCAGAAAGCAAAAGGCCGCAGAACCAGGCCAGAAAGCGACACCGAGGACGCCGTTGTCAGAAGACCGACAGACTTGTTGAATCAAGACAGAATGAATCAGTGAATAAATCAATGGAGCAGACTCTCGACGCCAGCACTGGTCAGGCACTATATGATGTCCCACCTGATGTGAGGATCGCCTGCCCCCCTCCATGAAGCTGGATTCTAACCGGTCTGGAATAGCTTGGAGCCAGTCCATTGGGAGAATATGGAACCCCGTGTGTCATCTCTTCCAAAATAAACACTGTAAGTGGGTCTCCATACTCTGAATCTCACGACGACAAGCAGTCACACACTTCTATCCCCGCTTATTATTTGTCCTAACAGTATTCTCAGGGGTTGATAGATTTTCGATGTGAAACATCTCAGTGGACCGCCAGTGGCTCGATCTCGTGGAAAGGAGATGCATGCCAATCTGGGAAGACGCTAGCCTTTGGCGACCGCTACCACGATTATAATTGCACTAGTCAACTCCATAATGACAAGACTACAGGCACAGAATTGTCACCCTCCAATACCACAGGTTTTAACAACACCCTCAATACGGAGTTGCACTGTCATAAATCCTCAGCCGTTGGCATGGATATATACACCGACGACCGAAGTACTCATACCATTGATTGGCGGCTCCCTGAGAATTATACTATAACCAATCCAACATTGGATTTATCAAGTCCTCTTTCAACTATGGGAAGCAACCATCCCTTAAGTTGTTTTACGGACCCTGAAATGGCTACCGCAAATGTTTTGGCATCTCCGTATAGTTCAACCGATGAGACAATGGGACTTGCCGCCTATACCCCATTGTGGAGAGATTCGGAACAACAAGTCCAGTGGAAGAAGATATCGTGTCCCTTTTATCATGACCCACTAAGCATCAGAAGCTGTGAGTGGTGTGGCCAACAGCCCAGTATTTTGGAAGGAAATACTCCGGGTCAATGGTATCACTGCTATCCCTTGATGTTATCTGCCGACGAATATGAAAACGAACGACCTCTAAGCTTTCCCATATCATCAGCCTTGGACTGTTCTCCTGTTTTCGGCATAGATGCTAGGTGTGACCCTAGGACCATGACTGATGGAAATCAGTCATTCCACCAAGATCAGACATTAGAAGAGGAAGTCACCTTCGCACCGACTATGATCGAACCATACTGCCTTTACAGCACACGTTTCGGTGAATTGAGTACTAGTGGGTGGCCAGTCATTCCATTACCACCTGGTAATGGAAATTAATGCCGCCAGCAAAAATAATGCAGTACTCACGGATGAATGTACATTCTTGGGTTATGGCGAAGGGACGATACAGATTATATGATTGGTCTCCAGCGCTAAGTCTAGGTTGAATGTACCTCAGCGTATCATGTACTATGTTATTCTGTTGAAAATTAGCAGAGAGACATAGAAGCCTTGTTAAACTATTAGACTTTGCTATTTTATTTAGAGGATAATAATCTTGTAAAGATATTCAGTGTGGTAATACCATTCATGCCGTTGGCTTTGTTAAAGTGTTGCGCATGCTCCTAATGCCCACCTTACGATGAAGTACCTATACGTTTTGCCTACTAGAGATCTCGTTACCGCACATATATTAAGACCTTAATGAAGTAGAAAGGTTTGTTCATTCCTACCTTTCTGCCCTGACCCTGGTACAGTATGTTGTACATTGCACCGGCCCGAGGTCATTTTCTTTGGTGTATATGAAGGCAATGTTGCTATCGTATGAATGAGTGGAGCAAGACAATATTTATCACGGGTGATACGCTAATACATGCCTCTGGCATAGTACAACCCCCTCCAAAATTAGTCAGAGTGCATGGGTGCGCGACGGTGGCTACTTGACAGGGCTGTACTAATTTCTACAAGGCTCAACCGTTCAATGGTGAAAGGCATCTACAAACCATGACCATATACTGTTCTTAATAGGCCAAGAGACATGACCCCATACAGTCATTCTCGAAATCTGTTTGACTCTCGTACTTTAATATTTGATTTTCAGGACCCACTACCAAGTGCCTAATGTGGTAAAAAAAGTATCTGGCTATATCAAATTTATAAAGGATTCTCGTACGTATTCGGTAAGCACCCTGCGCAGCTCTGTATTCCATACAAATCAATCCTTTTTACTACTTGAATATCTCAGCAACTAGAGATAGTAAAGATGCAATAATTAATATATAATAGAATATAGGGTAAATAAGACTATTGATAATTTTTTAAATTCTTTTCTCCTGAACTTTACTCTGTAAAGTAGAAATATCAGAAATACCGCTGTAATATTCAATACTGAAAGAAGTATTCTTTATATAAGCTTCTCTACTGTATATAGTAAGAATTAAGTACTATTATATACTTTTCTTAAATTTTTGGATTATTATAGTTTGTGGTTGCTGAGATATTTAGATAGTAAAAAGGATGATTTATATGGAATACAGAGCTGCGCAGGGTGCTTACCGAATGTGTTTGTGGCTGTGATTATGTAATATCACACAAGGCCAAATACACTAAGACATGAAGTGGGCCAAGAATATTTATTGTATGTTTGTTGGTTAAACCAATTTCGAGAATAATTGTAGGACCTATCCTTTCCGGAATTGATATATTTTATTTAGAACGCTTTACAGTACTGATATTAACACTGGCCTAAATTGGTGGCTAGCCTATCTAGGCCTAAAGAGTCAACCCGTTGTGGAACCGCTTCCCAGTCGAAATCTCCAGCTAACCTTTTATGAAGGTGCCGACATAGCGTTTCCGCTTCTAAATCGGTCCGACTAACAAATACACATCGGTTATCTCGTAGTTCCACTACCAATAGCTTAGTATAAATGGGTTATTAGACCCTTTCTTGAATAAAGATCTCGTTTCTACTAGCTGGTTTACCTAATATAGAGATGCCTTACCCCGCTATATATATAATATTGGTAGTACGGCAGATAGATTGTATTTAATATATATATTGTCACGGCTTCCAGGGTAACCCCGCATGATGACTGCATCGTATACCCTGCCCGCTGTGCATAGATATCTCGGTGGCCGAACAGCAACATCGGAGAACACATCTGTTGCCTTTTCAATAACAGATAGTAGCCCCCTCTCGATCCTTTTCTATCGGAAAAGGGGAGATCTCTTTTAGCTATAAAGAGATCTTGATATCAATAAGTAGACTGGCGTTTAGCTAGGTTAGGTTAGGTTAATGGGGTCAGTTATACCTAACCGGTAGGTTATGGCTAGGTTATATATATATATTGTACCGTCCGTGGTTAACCGGCGGTTAACCTAGTTCTGCCTGAGGCGGCCAACTAGACCTATTTAGGCAGGCGGTAGACTAGGGTTGCTTAAAATACTGCTGGTAGAAAATAGCCCTAATGTACCGCCTACCTAAATAGGCGTAGACTGGTGCCTTGTGGCCTTATCAGGCAGAACTAGGTTAACCGCGGTTAACCTAGTTTTAACCTTAACCTAGGTCGGTTAAACATTTTTATTAACCTAACCGACCCCGGTTACGTTAGGTTATGGCTAGGTTACAACGGTTAGGTTATGCCAGTCTATCAATAAGAGAAAGGCAAGAATCAGCCTTCTGTTTACATAGTATCTACTGCTTGCCTTTCTGCCTACGTACCCTTACCTAGTTGACAGGTCCACTACCCTGACTAGTAGATATTTCTTTGACATATATATTAATTTCCTACTTTCTATAGTAATATATTATATAATGTAAAAAGTAAACCTAAGCCTTAATTCTTTGAGAGTTTATAAATATTAATTATATTTCCCTATATCTCTTCTACTATGCTGTTCCCTTTACTCCTTACCTGATTAATTTATATAAACCTTTACTAGTATAAAGAGTTTATAAGAGTTACTTAATAGTATATTATTTGTGTCACGGAGCCGATGCAGACTCGGCCCGTAGGACATACAGAACCCCCGGGCCTCCTAACCCCTGCTCCACCTGCATACACCAGCTCCCTTTGCAGTTCTGAACCAGCCTTAGGGAGATTAACGCCTTGACTTTTTGGCCCTTTTTCTAATGAAAGGATTCACCGACTATTCGGCTGGGATTCTAAGGGAAAGAACTTCCTAAAAGAGAAGGATTCTTAAGCTATTTAAGCGCTGCTGAAGACATAGGAAAAAGGGGCAAGAATCAGTCTTCTTTGTATTTGTTCTACTATCCAGTAAATGATAGAGCTTTACCTTTTGCCTCCCGTCTCCTTACCTAGTTGACAGGCTATCTACCCTGTATAGTAGATCCCTCGTTACAATTTGTTACTTTAACAGCTTAAGTATATTTGATGACACTATCTTATTTAGCACTATCAGGACAATTTCAAGTATTACTGTATAAACATTACTCTAAGGATATAAATACAATATTGCTTAATTGAGTGATTAATCTCTTAGAAGTAGCAGTATTGATAGCTACCTTAGTCTGTCCTGCGAGAAGCTATGGCTACTAAAGTAGAAACAGAGTTGCCCTTAGAAGTAGAGGTTCGCTGAAACACAGAAATAAAATGCCCACCGTCCGGGTTATAGATCTGGTAATATTTCTGCGTTGTATAGGCCTCAGGGCTCATCGCTTAATAATTGAATATAGCTTCTTGAGCACACTGCACCCCCATATATATTCACTGATATTATTTCTATTCAGTAAATAATTGATAGCCAAGAGCTCCCTGTTGATCCTTATTTACTGCTCCAGCAGCACCGAATAAAAAGTAACGCCCAGACCACTTTTCTAGCAGTGCTTTAATTTACTCTTACTCCAAAAGGGACACATCCTAGAAAGATGCGGTGTAGAGATTATACAAAAGAGTGTTCTCCCCGTGAAGCCCGTCGTTGAAGAGAAAGATAGCCTGTCATCATGGCTTCTAAGCAGGAAAAGGATCAGGAACGCCGGAGGACCAAAAACTCCCGAGAACGTTTGAAGCGACGGAAAGAACGTACTGTTCAAAGTCTACATGATTACGGCCTTCTTTCAGGCGCCAAAGTGTATATGTTTATTCAAGACCGTGATGGCAGGGTAACTGAGTACAGAAACACCCTGGATAAGAGGTTTCCCCCGTCATTTACTCAGACTGTACGTTCAACACCCAAAAAAGATTCCTGCAATGTTTGACCATATTATAGAGGCGCCTATTCCCATCTGCAAAGCTGTTGACTCCAGAGAGCTTTGGCGTATCACAGCCAGATGTTGAAGTACCTACGACTACAGACAGTCAAGTCATGTCATATGGGCTTCTTAACTTCCCTACCGGACCTTTCCCAATGGATCAGTGTAATGATCCTCTAGGAGTTCCTGCCCAACTTGGAGAGACACCAACTCTGCCAGACGACATTCAATTTTGTTCAAACACTCCTGGAGCAGTTTTGTCACAGGATATTCAAGATGGGGCCACTAAAACAAGGACCTGAAACACATTATCCAGTTACACGAGAGTATACATAGCGTAACAAACTATCACTTGACTTATATTAACACGCTTCTTCCCATTAGATTACACCCAACGAAAAGTATTTAAATTAGCGTAAGGAACAAGGATTCCTTGTTAAAATGTACATACAAAGTATCTATAATGAAAAGGAATTTCAATCTAAAAGGGTCCTAGATGTACAGAAGCTTTTGGTTATCAAATACTGTTTAGGAACACCCGAGTGGTAATATGTGTGCAGGATGTATTTAACTTGGAGCATCTCGAGATGTAGGGCTTTGAGCTAAGAAATTCAATTATATATAAAGCTTTTGATACAGTATGATTCCAATGCTATACTTGTGAACATATCTATGTTGCATAATGATTTATAATACCTTGTTGGCCGTCGTGGCTTCATCCGTAGTATTGCTTAGAATTGATTTGCCATGCGAGTTGTATGTATATAAAATCCATACACACATAGAAAATAAACGCTTGTTACGTTACGCCAAGAGCCGATAAAGTTGAGAAGAGTACGCAGGAATAGATACTCTTCTGTAAAATCTCTTAAACCATGCCCTCGCTATAAAGCTTTACTTTGTTTCTGTATGCTATTATCTTGTCTTGTTTCTGCTGAAAATATTCCGCCGCACAATACAGTCAGCTATCTCCAATTCTCCTTATATAAATATATAAATAGTCAATTTTGCATCGGGACAGGTTAGCAAACTCACTAGAAAAGTACTTTTATATACAGATGAATCTCACAGGGCTGCCTCCTGAGATGCTTTTATGCATTACCAACAAGCTTTGCACAGCCAAAGATCTTCTATCATTTTCCTTGACCAACAAGGAAATGTACTGTATCGGGTTAAGGGCTCTTTATGCATTCAATATTGAACAACAAGGTAGTTCAGCTCTGTTCTGGGCAGCAGAGCATGACAAAGTCCAGACTGCTCAAGGCTTCCTTGGGATGCCAGGTGCTACGGCGGATGTTGTGTCTGAAGGAGATACTCCATTGATACTCGCAGCCGCATTCGGATCCCAGCTCATGATCGAGCTACTTCTCAAAACTCCAAGTACCCAGCTCAATGCGCTCAATGCTTTGGGCCAGACAGCCCTCTGGTGTGCAGCAGCTGAAAACCGTCCTATAACTGTCTCGCGACTCCTTGGGCAAAACGGAGTCCTAGTTGATTGTCCGAATGTCAAGAATGGTTGGACGCCCCTTGCAGTGGCTGCCTCAAATGGACACTGTGATGTCGTTCAATGCTTTCTCTCCGATGGTCGCGCCGATCTTAATGCGGTAGACAGGGATGGTCGAACACCATTATTCCATGCCATCGAGCATAATAGGACTCGTGTAGTGAAGATGCTTCTCACAGACCCGAGGATCGATGTTACTTGCAGGAACTCCAAGGGCTGCACTCCACTTCTTGATGCTGCACGGAGAGGGTTTCATTCTTGCATGAGCATTCTTCTCGACCATCCAGATACTGAGGTGAATGTCTACGACGGCTTTTCTCTGTCACCACTCTGGTATGCAGTCGGCTTTTGTGGTGTACAAACGGCACAACAACTACTGGACAGAGGAGCCACAGCGAACATGATAGGTCGGGATCAAATTTCACCGCTCCAGAGGGCAATTTGTCTGGAAGATATAGCGATGGTCAGGTTGCTTTTGGAACATCCCGGTGTTCGTCTGTTACCTGGAACCATCGATGCTGGCCTCGGCAATGGGCAGAACCCGCTATTCACGGCTGTGCGAGTGGGCCGAATCGACATAATGGAGCTCCTTCTATCCAGAGGGTTGGACACTAATATACAGGACGATGAGGGAAGAACGCCCTTACTCATAGCTGCAAGTATTGGATGCTATGAGGTTGTCAAACAGTTGTTTCACCATCAGGACACTAATCCGTGTATAACTGATTATTACGGACGCACAGCCCTGCATGAGGCTGCCAGGCAAGGCAGACTGTCTGTGGTTCAACTACTTCTTAGCGATTCCAGAGTTGATCTCAATGCTAAAGATGACGAGGGCCTGACACCGCTTTGGTGGGCAACATTTAAATCGCGCCAATGCGTGGCTTTGTGCCTGCTCGACAGAGATAACGTCAACGTCAATGCATCCGGCCGCAATCAGACAACATCTCTTCATCATGCTGTGCGGGCTGGAAATGAGGTTATCACCCGTGCTCTTTTGAAGCGAGAAGACGTAGACCCAAATGTTCTGAGTACTCTGGGGCATTCGCCACTGAGTCTAGCGATCCAGACAGGGGACGTCTCCCTCGTGCAACTACTCCTTACCAGGAAAGACCTACTGCTCGATGCTGACTCACCGGCTAAACAGCCGTCAACCCACGGAAACAAGTGGAAGCTTGTGCAAACGCCCCTTATGCTTGCCATCAAGGAGGGCCATTGTGAAATTGCACAAGCCTTACTCCAAAGAACGGGATCCCGAATCAACCTGCAAAGCTGGAGGGGTGAAACTGCACTTCTTCTTGCCGCCCGCGGGGGTTACACACAAGTTATAGAGGATATCCTGCGGAATCCTGCAGTTAATATTAATCTGATTGATAACTCCGGGCGCAGCGCACTATGGTGGGCAACGCATAAGCGAAACACTTTCATTGTGCGGCGCCTTCTCCACATTCCTGACCCTAACACTGAAGCAAGAGGTCATAAGGAATTTCTCGAGACGAAGACGGGTGTACGCCGTTGGAATCATGTGATTGGACATTTCAAGACAGAATATCAAAATTTCCCACACTTATACAGCGAAAACACCAGCAATTCGCTGCTTTTTTCATTGTGCTCTTCCTAATGATTGAGATGTGGAATAGTACCCTGGCTTAAAGATGCGCCTACTAGGGCAGCATTCTATAACTTACTAATAACTCCTGCTAGAATATGGCATATAACTACTGGCTACTACTTGATAAAACCTGTTCCCTGTTATAGGTCCAGCTCGATTTAGTAACAGATTGGAACTAAATTTATATAAAGAGCGTTACTAGAGAGTAAATTTAAGACTGGATCACGAAGATTCCATAGCAGCTGACCTTGATATCCTACATGATGTGTTGGTGAGGGCTTCCGTCTGGCCTTAGGGCCCAGGAATATGGGTTCTTCCGGGGCCGGTAAGCGGGGGCCTACAACGCCGAGGAATTGGTAGTAGCTAGCTGAGATAGGCAAGAATGAGATCAAGCAGATGAAAAAGCTCCCCTTTCCACTCACTAAGATGATGCATCTAACTCAAGGCTTCTGTGACCTTTGCACAGCCTTTGAATAAGGGATCAGCACTACTCGCGACAGGATTCTCCCGAGCCCTGGAACCTAGTAAACAGGTGCCCTTTATTTCGTTCATATAAAAAGTATATGTAATAGAACAGGCAGTCTCAGGACTAATGTAAAGTAGCGTACTATATAATAGTAGCTAGAATCTTACACTAAGGAGCTTTCGTCAGTCGTAGAATAGGTACCGCTACCGCTACTAAAGCTTGCCCTCGACGTAGGCCTCGCCAAAACCCGTGGGTTAGCGGGTTGGGTCCGGAAACACGTTGCTTGGCGGGTTTTTGATTAAGTCTCAACCTGCGAGTTTGCGGGTTTACGGGTTTGGGTTCTGGATCGAACATCAGAACATGTACCCATTGGTCAGTTCCTAATGTTGGACCCTATTCCAACCCGAGGCCTACCTCAGAGTCAGCTGACCTGCCGCCGGCATTTAGAGCCCGAACGCCACTACGGCAAGCCATTGCGGCCAACGCGCATTAATTCATTTTTCTATCTTTTTTAGGTTTTCTTATCCTCTTCTTGTCGAATACTTTTACCGCTCAGCTGGCCGCCCTTGATTAGTTATTACTAGTTCTGAATCCTAATTGACCCAGTAGCTCGCAGTCATGTGACTGTACAACTATACCAAATAGACTACAGAGTATGGAGTAAATAGACAATGTATATTACATATACAGTATACTATACAGACCAAGTAGACTACACAGACTATATAGACTATTCTGCCGGCAGAAACATGTTTAAAATGTTGGAAAATGAATTAATGTCGCGTTGGCCGCAATGGCTTGCCGTACGCCACTACACTTGATTTTCTGGCAATCAAACCGCTTTAGCTTTATGCCTAGACTATTATTTAATGCCGAATGTAGCCTATTTGCAACCTTCGCTGCTGTGTGGAGTGGTATCCCAGGTTTTCCTCTATAGGATAGACAGATCTCGGGATTTAAATGGACACTACTCCAAATAGAGTATAGCCTATCACACGTTATACGCTAAGTGTATCTATAAGAATGTGTTTTCTATCAATCAGTAAGGGCTTTCGTGTGGCGCCTTAAGGCCCGGAAATATGGGTTTCCCCGGGGCCGCTAAACGGGCCCACAACGCCGAGCAAGCCGGAGATAGCGAGCTTAGTCAAGAATTCAAGAATGCATACGAACGGTCTCCATATCGCCCATTAAGATTTTCTGTAGATCAAGCCCTTGAATACAATCGAAGGTATTCAATCGGGTAAGTATACTTGTGTCCCTATTTATTCAATACATTAATGTAATGTATACAAACTAGAATTTATCCTCTCCTCCGCCAATAGTGCCTCGTTAGCTAAATTGCTACTTTGATTGGGTCTCCATTTATATTATTGCAAGACGGACCACCTGAACTAGGCCAATATTTTGGCCATCCTATGCGCATTTAGTATCGAGTTTCTATAATATCCCTGCTACCTTTCTAACTAGTGCTTAGCAGTAAGTCATATTCATTATTATACCTTCCTCTCTGTTGCAGAAATTATGTAACGAGTATCGTTCCCTCATCACGATACTTATTATAAATATCAGACTTACAACACATCCTGCTTATCCTACTTATCCTACTTATCCTACTTATAAATTATAGCTTCCCACTCCAACAATTATTCAAGACGTATTCAATACCTCTTGACTTCTCTATACTATGGACTCTGTGGTAGATGTCCTGATTGCTGGTGGTGGCCCAGCCGGTCTCACCGCAGCCCTTACATTGGCCCGCCAACTTCATACAGTTATTATATTCGATAATAAAGACTACCGCAATACGAATGTCTCCTATATGCATATGATTCCAACCTGGGACTATCGGAATCCTACTGAATTCCGTAGTAAAGCTCGTGATGAAATTCTCAACTACTATAACACTGTTAAGATCGAAGAGGTAGATCTTAAAATAGCAGAGAAGAGCAGTGACGGGCTTTTCCAACTTATTGATACCAATCACAAAGTCTGGAAAGGAAGAAAATTAATTATTACAACTGGCTCAGAGAATATTATCCCCGATATCCCTGGATATGCAGAAGCATGGGGTCAGAGAATGTATGTATATCTGTTATAACCTTACTATTTATTCAGAAATTATTAAATTTAGCTAACACTACCTAGTTACCACTGCCTTTTCTGTAAGGGGTACGAAGACCGCTATACAGATAGTGCCGGTGTCCTTGCTATTCAATCTGCTGGGAATATATCTATGGTAATACATCAGACAGAATCAGCCTCTCAGCTCGCTAAGAAGGTGACCATCTATACAAATGGAGCAGAGGAACTCGGTGCCCAGATTATATTAGCCCTAACTGATAAAGACAAGTCTTGTATTATGGTTAATAATACCCCGATCAAGCAGCTTACTTATACTCGCTCTTTGATTTATTTGGAGCTCGCAGATGGTACAACAAAAGAAGAGACCTTCTTAGTTCACAACCCTGATACAACTGTGAAAGGTCCGCTTGCTGCTCAGCTTGGTCTAGAGCTTACTCCAATGGGCGATATCAACGCTGCGCCACCATTATTTCAGACCAGTATACGAGGGGTCTTTGCGGCGGGTGACTGTGTTACTCCATATAAGGTTATCGCGGGTGCGATTTCGAGCGGCTGTAATGCAGCAGTAGCTGCTTCAGCGCAGTTATTGGCGGAGAAGCATAACCACCAGCCGCTTTTTTGACGGTCTTTCAGGAAGCCTTCAGGAGTAATGATCGTTATAAAGACATCTGCTCTAGGAAACATTTTTAACAGTTACACGGTTCAGTTTAATTAGATATTAGTATTCCTTTACAGTAATGCTTCTGTTGCATTGTTATTAGAATGTTGAAGTATTTATTCACTGTGGTTGAAGGACACTATAATGCACAATTCACGATCGAGTGAGTAGTATTTAACCAGATTAGCAATCGCCAAAAATTTAGCCTATAAGTTTAATAATATCTCTAGATTTCGCGAACAGTGCAAATGACTACACGCTCAGACATACTCTAGCTGAATTAATTGTAAATAGGATGAACTTTTGTAATTAGGTAAAACTTAAAACCTTGGATTGTCTGTTAACACACCGAGATATATACTTCGAACACCAATTCATAATCTAGATATTGACAAATTTTGTGGGTCCCTAAAAGGCCCGACTTAGCAGTTACATGGTTTGTGTGCAATAATAACTAGCCTTGTTTTTATAGAGCTGTCCATAGTCTGATCAATTTGTCCTAACAATATAAACCCTATTGGCTCCCTATAGATTATAAATCCAAAAGTTTAAATCTCTATGTATTAGTAGAGTAATATTTGGTTCCAATCCCAGAATATGGCCCAAACCCAGGGCACCCACGTAGGTTGGGCTAGGGTGGGTTTATTTGGTCAAATACCTCTCGCTTGTCAATTATTTAATGTCGTCTCCCACAACAAAAGTTCCTGGTTACGAAGAATCGCTTTCCAGTCGCAAAGGCTGTACGGTTTACCTCTTCTTACACCCACGTTCAATGTCCATCAGTTCTTTTACACACTTTCAGTTGCAGTATAGAGTCTCAGTGCTACTAATCTGGTCTTGATTTCAGGTAGCAGGTAACCCGCTGATTCTTGACCCTAAAGCTAACCCTGGTATGTACAACTGCTTACTTGTTCTTAGTATGATTGGCATTATATCGTAGACTTGTGTAGCTTGCAAATCAAGCGAGGAAAGCACTCAAGAGCTTGTATTTGCTCTTCATGGTCCAGGCGCAGCTGTGGAAGCATCATTCTCTTATATGGCCGCCATGAAACGTCGAGTTGCGATATATACACTATGCAAATACTGCCATTACGGGCTTTCTGATGAAATGCAATTAAGTCGAATTCTCCTGTTTGCCAGCAAAACGACTTCAGAGAATGCAGAGGTATGGAAAAACCAAGCATGGAAAGTCTGTTGCACTTGGGCAGAGTATGTCAGGGTTATGAGAGGTAGTGGAAAGCTGAAACTTCATTTGTCTTGTTCTGCTCGTCTTTCTCGTGGCACTGGTCCATCCTTCCGGGGCTGATTTGCTTATCTCGTTCCTTTGCCACCCCTTTCTGCAGTGAGCTATAAAGCTTGTCTACGTAGCACAATCCTTTCCATTTTGGAACTAAAGAGGTTGTGTTAACAGAACAATCTTTCAGTTCTCTGTATAATAATACGGGTCGATGTTTAGATGCATATTGATTTATATATTTCACCATACTGGAAAGCAGCCTTGTATATAGTCGTTTTCATAGCCTGAGTGCTGTCTATGTCATCTTAAGATACTGAATGCATGCTATAAACATTGACGTACTGCAAATTCCCTTGGTTAGAAGCTTCGCTATAGCCTTGATCTCCATAGCTAGTTTTACAATGAGTACCTCTAGAGAATAATGTTAGAAACTTATAACTGTCTTAGAAATTATCATAAATTTCAGGGTGTGGTAGATTTGGTCTGCTAACTATTTAGATATTACACTGCTAGTGGAACCAAACAATGGGCGATTATATTCGTACTGGAGGCAATCTCGCTGAGGACAAAGCTTAGCTATGCGCTACGAAGAAGCTTTACTTCCAGCCACTTGTCAAGGCTACTTCATTATATAAGGAGCCAACCTTATTCTATGACCTTCCAAGACTTCGATCTCTACCTGATTCTGGATTACTAAAAGAATAATATGCCATCCCATCGATATTTCAAGAATACACACTATGGTACTTTCTTACACGTGCTATTCTACTCTTTGGTCACCTCTTCTCAATTAGCTTCCATGCATATCAATTCTCTTAACACTATAATGTCCGGAAAGCCATCTTCAGTCCCAGACACTAAAAAGGTGCGACTGGGGAAATTCTACCTATACCTTGCCTTTCGTCATGTCTTGAAACTTCGCACAGCCTATAAAGAAGAGCTCTGTCAGAGCTCGGGTATAGATACCTGTTCAACAGGGCATCTCGGGAACGGTAGAATGTGTGAAACAGCCAAATTAACTGTTATGGTCGAATCACCGCCACTCATATTTCACGGGGAGCCGACAAACTCAATGGGTGCTCTTTTCTCGGGCATCTTACGGTTTACTGTTGGGGAATGCACAAGTTCAATTGAGATCGTCAAACTCAAGCTGACCTTGGGAATTAATGTGACAACTACGAAACCAGTTGTTAAGGCATGCCCCAGCTGTGTCTCCCAAATTGAAGAGCTTCAAAATTGGAATTTCATAACAAGGCCGATGTACCTCACGTCAGGCCATCACGAATTTCCCTTCAGCTATCTGTTTCCCGGTCAGCTGCCTGCTTCCTGCAACAGCCCCTTGGGCGACATTAGGTACATACTTTTCGCTCAGGCGGAAGACATCGTTGGTAGAAGCTACTCAAGCACGCTGCCTCTGCACATTAAACGCGCCCTTCCTCCGGGAAATGAGATATCTTTATTCTACACATTCCCCCCCACGAACCTAACCAGTCATATTGTTGTTCCATCAGTGGTGCATCCTATGGGTAGCTTTCCTGTTCGAGTAACACTGAGAGGAGTCTTGGATAAAGAGAACCCTAACCAAAACCGCTTATATATACAAAGCATCAAATGGCAGATCAAAGAGCATGTGAAAATAGTATCGCATCCCTGCTCTAAGCATGCATCCAAGGCTCGTGGAAAGAGTGTTATTCATCAAGACACCCGAACTATTGCAAGTAGCAAGGAGAAAAGCGGTTCAAGGTACAAGTTTGATTTAATAAATAATGAGACCAGGTTGCAGTTTGAAGCGGGTATCGACTACAATAATGGATCGGTATGTGATATTTTGAATACTAAAGGAGTAGAGGTCAAGCACAGTCTTATTATTGAGCTGATCGCAGAGGACCGCAACACCTGGATAGCCGCAAGATCGGGCGCTTCTGTTGTGCTTCGTATGTGTTCAGGTTTGAGGATCTTCGAACGCAGCGGACTTGGCATCAGTTGGGATAAAGAGGTGCCCCCAATATACACGGATGTGCCGCCCGGCCCCCCTGGTTACATTGCGATGGAAATACCAGTGAGGCGCCAGGATACTCCAAGTCGGCTGACATCATCGGAGTATGGTATTTAAATATGTAAACTAAGTCTGATTATGTAGCCTACACATGTTGCAGGAATGACTGAATAATTGTATACGTCAGTCTTATTATTTGAAGGTGCACAGGGCGATCAACTATTACGCGATAATAATTTGTGAGCCTCTACATAGTCACTCGGAAGGAAATAAGAGTCTTACTGTAAGAGATTTAGAGGATATAGAGAGTGTAGAAAAGCTTAGGATAAAAGGACGTCCTGTATACTATATCTTCTAAGACCTAGTCTACTATAGAACAGCTAATATAAAGAGCAATGGCCTGATCAGAAAATCGTTATCATTCATTTTTAGATACTTTCCGCCAAGAAGCTAAACTAATAACAGTTACCTAAACCAATGACTTTAAAGTGAGTCAATAGTTCGGTTTCTAAGGATTTGCAAAGAATGTGGGGTGGGTAGGCTAATTCCATGGTCCACTTTCTAAATATTTATCACCTTTTATCTCTATACTCGCCTTTTAAATTCCAGTACCCCCCCCCAAGCACAACCCTCAATATAGCACTCTCTACCCAGCAATATATAATCAATTCAAACCCACCCTGGATGAGAGAACACGCAACAGTGTTATACCACATGGCGATCCGTGAACTTTACTCATCGGACGTTGAGCGGTTTTCAAGTAAGTAATCATATGCATATCTCCAATCCTGGCTCACAATCTCCTAGGATGCCGAGTGGCTCGAGTCTCTGAATTGCCAATGGTGCCCTCTTCCCAGCAGAGCAATCCATGTTATCCCGGTACCAGGGCCAATTTCTCAAGACATAGGTTGGAGACCCCAGGCGTTCCATATATTTCTCGGCTTGGTGATACCCCTGGTGAGAAATCTCTGATTCACTCTAGCCAATTATAAAACCACTAACTATGGTAGACAGACTTCCCTATCCTTCTCGAAGACGAAGAGGAAGTACGAAGACAGAGTCATATTACATCTTCAACATCTTCCGATGGAGTTCATCGTCGGAAGAGCACCTCAGTGATAGAATGTAGTATATGCCTCCAGAGTGATGAGCATGATATTATTGCAGTACCCTGCGGTCACATATTCCATCGGGTTTGTTTTACTTCACTTGTCCAGAGCAGGTATAACAGCGGACAGTTGGAATTAGACCATATTCAGGTGCCATGTCCTGAGTGTCGGGCCAAGTGCAAGGGGAGGGTCAGTCGTTCATCTTGCCCAAAAATGCCGCGGATGTTTTTTGCACTCCTCCCATTGAGCAATACAACGGGACAGCCTATAGCAGGCATTACCAATGTATATATGAAAGGATTAACTATATATCCACATATACTATAGGCTTTCCCAAGCCATAAATATAGCAATCTTCAAAGGCAGCTTAATTAACAAGGATATTTTACTAGGATAAGTGTTCTCAAACAGCATCACTATATTACATATACTTAAGTCACCATTCTATACATACTATTAATATGAAGGCGCTATTTACAGTAAATATTATTTTTGTTGGACAAGCATTTAAATTTAAGGATAACTATAATTATATTTGAATATAAAATGCCATATAATCATATGTGGATTAATCTACTATTTGAATCTTTTCTATATTATTTCCTTTTTTTTACTACGGAATTACTATTTGATGTATAGCATGGTGCCCCAGTGAAAGGACGGAGTGATCTTACATAAAAGTCATGTCTATATATTATTTCTTCAGTAGCATTACAAACATTCCTATATATATATCTGTCTCTTCCTCTTTGTTGCAAATATTCGTTGAATCTACTATTGTGGATATGAGCTTCCCTTGAGATTAAATTATGGCTAGTGGTAAGCTCCATCCACCTCTACTGCCATCAACCCAGCTACAATAACTCTGTTATCAAGCAGTTGGCACAGCTTCCAGTTTCTCCGATGACTGGTCCCGACCTGACCGGCCGACATCAGTTGAGTTCCAGATTGTACAGCACGGTGGCCATAGCTCCGCCGTGGAGTTGCTCCCATGTCGGTTACAGTGGTCCAAGCAGGAACCCCATACTGGGAAGGATCGTTTTATGCGAGCAGTATATGAGGCATCTTACTTGCGAGCTGAAAATGCCTATTATCGCAAGGTTCGGCGATCATCGATCCTGCTCCAAGCTGAAATCGAAACTGTCCTTCTTGCCTATTCAGCTGTACAAGAACTACGTGCTTGTCTCCATCGTCTTGACGAATTAACCGTGAAAAGCGAAAGACAATCTGCCTCGTTGAGACAAAGCGTGCTGGGTACTATGTGGTCTCGCAATGCAAGCTTACTCCGCACTGCAATTGACGACTACAGGGTTATGATTGACAGGATTGACGCTAGCTTTACAAAACTTCAGGAATCTCAACAAGATTTCACTGCAGCTTTAAGACGAATTGACCAAGAATATGCCGACTTCTTTACTGTACAACTAGGCGAGGAAGCAGTCAAGTTCTGACTACTTGAAGCTGTAAGCCATGGTTGAATGCAGTGCAGAAGAGTAATACCATAGTGAGCTCTTATAAGTTATGCACCGCGAGAGTACTTTCTAGAAAAGTATTCCAAAGTGGATCCTTGAGAGTAATATAGAGATAAATTATTTAGAGTAGTATAGATAGGGCTGTTCGGAATGAAAGAAATATGAATAGTAAGATATAACGTATTGAGTAAACAGCTGGATCAGCTCTGTTTTCTATATAATATAGCCTTATTCCCAACGGAAATATCTTAACCAATGAAATCAATCTCCATTTCAAGATTTATACAGTACGAACTGAAATATCCTCCCATACTTTCAACTAGGCCTAGGCATAGGAAAGGACCGCAAAGACCAAAGACCGGACCGCACCAGACCGCAGTGGTGCGGTCCTGCAGTCATACAAACAAAACAAACCGATAAAATCTGTGATGTATATAAGTTATAAACTACTAGATCAAAGGTATTGCAACACCCCGATTTCGGCTTCCCAGGCGCCGTTTTTAAATCTCAATATCTCGGCGAATTCAAAAGCTTTTGATCTTATAGTAAATTCTATAAATTCCTAGACTCAAGATTTAGTATACCATCTGTATGCTTTGTATACAGCTTGAAGACTGCGCGGCTAGGACAGAACTAGGCGATTTATGATCTCCTGATCAAGGCTATGGTATACGGTCTGAATAGACTGTCTAAAATGCTCTATATCTATTTCTGATACTCTATCTAGAAAGAGCTTAGGATAGAGCTCCCTCAGCTTCTTTTTAAGCAGGTACTAGAGATTTTCAATAGGGTTTAAATCAGGTGAGTAGGGCGGCTATTCAAGATTCTATATACTAAACGGTGACTAATATTAACTTTCCTAACAACAGCCCATACCTTTTAACAGATTTAGGAAATTTCGAGGTAGAACTATAGTATGAGGAAGGTTGCTCAGTAAATCCCCCAGAGATATATACCGACATATCTATACTGTATACAAGCAGGTAATTGGGTAGCTCTTAAGGGCAAAAAGGCATTATAGCTTCCTTCAGATCATCGACCTACATATTTAGAGGTTCTAAACAGTACTATAGGCCTTTGTTGTACTAGTAGCAGGGTTTCTGTTATTAAACTTTCTATCTAGTGCATCTCAATTGTCGGATGTATTCTATCTCTAACTATTCCATATTTTCAAATCCCGTTTCTAAAAAGAGGGTCTAGGAGAACCGAGAACTTTACAGTAATCTGCTCTACAGTCCGTCTCGAAATTCCTCTGACCTTCAAACACATGACAATTGTTTTCTAGCCCCACTGCCAAGACTTTATTCTGGAAGTTATAGAGCGCTACCCGCTTGTAAATGAGGGTGGCCGTAAATTTTAGTCGTACAATACATAAATACATAGTGAGCAGTACTAAGTTATGCACCGATGTACTTGGCTTATTAATTTGCACAATTCCGCGACAGATGTCAACCACGGGAGATGTCCATGGAAGAACATGGAACTCCCGCTCTGGCACCGTAGATCTCAGGGAATTAGGAAACTCCTGTTCCTGGTCTCTCGCAGACCGGCCATGTGGCATCAACTTTCCCTTTCTGGCAACCGCGTATCTCTCTGCCTTGTTGTAACTCATACGGTCGATAAACGCACAGTACATTTTCTCTTGTCTGATGTGACAAACTAAGGAAGTCGTGTCATTCAGAATCTTTCTTCCTTCGCCCGCAGCTGTTGTTTGCTACAGTAACTGTTGTTCGCTAGCAACACCTGCTGAGATAGCGTAGGGTGCGAAATTTGACCAGACATTGCTAACCACAGGAGTTTCGATCACTGAAAGAGATGAGCTCGAACATATTTAGTCCTGAAAATGATAATGGTGCTTACCAATACGAGTCGTGGCGATGGGATGAGTCGCCACAGTATGCACCAACCCCCGGAAACTTCGGTCGTACCCCCTCCTCGCCGTCAAATCTTAGCCTTATCAACTCCAATTCTCCGTCCTCCTTTGAGTACCCTGCCCCACAAACAAGCACCTCCCGAACAGATAAACTCCCGCTCCTCCAATACGGAGACTGGGTTGAAGGGAAGGTATATGATGAGGACCCACCAACCTGTATTCATTATTGGATTGAGTGGAAGGTCACTCTCAATACTAAGACTGTGGTTAAAGATACAGAACAAGATCTGGTTCTTGCCCCTGGGTTTTATTGGAGGCTGTTTCTCCAACCAAAATTGAGAGAGAAACTATGCCTCAAATATCCACACAAGAAGATCGCATTGGATGACACGTCTATTGTAGTGACAGTTCCTCGGCTTGACAAACTTACTCGACAGTTTGATAAGACAGATATTGATTGGCCTGATATAGAGAAACAGCTTATCAAATGGGGTCATCACTTTCTTGCCGGCAAGAGGTTAAAGCTTATAATATCATTCAACTATATAGAAGAGAGCCAAAGCTCTACAGCCAGTCGCAGGGCGGCTGGCAAACGAGGTACTACTTCTGCTACCCAGGGGATGTTGCAAGATCTTGATCAGGAGGTCAATACCGAGAAGGAACTGACCGGAGAACCTGCGGCCTGGAGACATGTCTATATGGTAATGCGCTGCCCCGGTTCGTGTGAGTTGGGACCGCACTGTTGGCAGGATCCTTACGGGAAAAAACACTATAAACTCTATAGAGATGAGCTTTTAAGCCTAGTCAGATATGTGAAGAGCGGGAAGAAATTAGAGTCCCATGAAGACGTGCCTGGCATGATCCGTGAGCAGATCTACAGGGCTGAGAGGCGGCGACTTGAAGGGCAAAAGGGCCGTAGTCGCCTTACATCCGAGTCTACCTACCCACCGATTACCATCACAAACGTGCTCCCCGCACAGGCCACGCAGCAGGGTTTGTCATCATCGCCACCCACCTCTGAAGACGCGCCCATTTGTTCAACCAAGGGCTCGCGACTTAGATTAGCAGGTTTTCGTGACGCCAATGTCCAGGCCTACTGTGATTGGCAACAGTCACAGGTTGAGAATGAGTCGTGGAAGGATGAATTTCGCAAAGCGTGTGACGTGGCTCTAGGTGATGGGTTAGACTTGGACCAGATCAACGAATTAAGTGATCCCGAATACTTCAAGAATCGGGGAGTGAAATGGGGTATTGCTCGTCGATTTGTCAAGGATATTAGATATTGGGTAGACAACTTTTATTGTTATGTGGATGGTGGGGAGTCGGGTTGATAGAATAGACAACTAGGTTGCCTTTGCTCATTCTCCATAGTCTTATCTTCCTGTATGTGTGGTACAGCCGAGGAATGCTATATATTTTCATCTATCAGTACACCTGCATGCCGAAAATGGCCTTCAGCACTCTGCACCCTTGAACCAACAACTCCAACACACCACTCGAGAAAAGCGTCAAATCCTTGTCCTGGATTTTCTTCGTACTCATACCACCTCCGCTTGATAAATTGCTTGAGTTCAGCGAAGAACTCCTCAATAGGGTTAAGATCTGGAGAGTAGGGTGGTAGGTATAGCAGCTTGACTCCTGCACTCAGACACATCTGTTTAACCCGCTCTGTGCGGTGGAAAGATGCATTATCCATTATAATTACAGACCTCGGTTCCGGCCATCTGTTGCAGTGGTGGAGAAGCTGTTCGATAAAATCCTCAAACATACTGGCATCAGTTGAACCTTGAAAGACTCGAGATAAGAGAACACCCTTCTGAGTGTAGGCGGGTAATATCTGATAACGTTGATCACGGTGGAATTTGGAGATCTGAATCGGTGTTACACCAAGAGGGGACCAGCCAGTTCGCCGAAACCCTACCCTCTTATCACAGCCCGACTCATCTACGTAAACCAGCTGGTATGACAAATACGGGGATAGACTATGCAGGTAGTAATCTCGTAAATCGGCATTTTGTTCCTTTGCTCTTTGCCGAGCTGTCTTGTTCGACCATCCAATAGAAGCAAGTGTCCTGCTTAGACTCTGTTTGGTTACACGCTTTCCAAAGTCATCATATATAATAATCACTAATTCATCCAAGTATAGAGTTGGTTTTTCCTTCAAACGCTCCAACACGGCTTCAAGTATCGCTGGAGTGATACTTCGAGGGCGTCCGACGCCGTTCCGCGGGGCTCTGACATTGCCAAACGCCTCCAGGTTCTGACGGATATATGTTACAGCTTGCTTGCTACAACCAGCGGCAAAGGCGATTTCAGCTCTGTTCGAGGACCCATTCTCAATCATATGCTGAATTTGTTCGAGTTGCGGGGCTTTCAGATTTGCCGGCATCTTCGATCAATGTGGGATGTAGCTCTGGAGTAGGGAGTGCAACATGCGACGTGATCTTTGCGGCACGAAGCTCCCATCGTCAGCACGGCCCGATAATCACTCCGGAGGTTAGATTATATAATATCACGTGTAACGAGTTGCCAGCTGCCTGCCAGACCAGCACTGCTGAACCTCGATCGTGGCTCGCTCTGTTTGGACGATGGGCATCGGTTGCCAACCCCACCCCTCCTCGGAGGGTATTTCTCCGCTCCAAGCCTAATCCTGGTGGGGACATGGGCACTGGTAGTCTCCGACCTTTGGTACAGTAAACCGCCACATTCGCTATCTCAGACTTAATTGAGCTTTAAGGAAGCCGCACCAACCGTCAGGTGTGAAATATCTCATCATTGAACTACTGATTCCAACTGAGTTTCACCATCAAATGTTATTCAATTTGCGAATGAGCTATGACCCACGAACTTCAGCTAGAGAAAAAGCAAACAAGCATGACACGTCAAAACTGGCCTCTGCAGCCAATGGCTGGCGGAAGATCACTCCCCTATTTTCACCGATAGTTTCCTTTTTTCCGGAAATAGCCAGATTTTCCCTGGTCATTTTCTTACTGCCTAACCCATGTTTTCCAGTGAACTTCACTACGCATCCCTACGATCAAATCTCATTATAAAGCAATTTCACCGGTGTAATCATGGATACTCCCAGTGATTCTGTCAAAAATAAGACGCACAGCATCTTCGGATGCTTGAAGTCGGTCTTCAGAGGGCGGAAAAGAGACAAAGATACGCGTCTCACTGCCCCAAAACCAAGCACGTCAAATATAACTGCGGGTCCGGACGCAGAGAGTGGCGCTGCCAATCCCGAAAATGACATTTCCAAAACCGACGACCACGACAACGCAAATGGCTTTTGGCAGATGGCGTACAACGAGTTAACAGAAAGCGACCCAAATAGTGTAGCAATACTTTTCCCGCTGACCGGAACTAAGCCTCAGGATGCTGGCGATGCACGAACGAGAGAGATATTGGACGAGGTAGTTAAGGCGACAAGGGCGCAGTACAAGAAGGAGGGAGGAAAGCATGGCATTCGGGCCACAGCCGAAAAAATATTAGACTCTGTGCTGTCTTTCCAAGATATTGTCAGTAATATTGCGAAATTTGATCCGACTGGGTACGCTTCCAGTGCTTGGGCGATAGTTTCCCTTGGATTAACGGTACGGTCCTTGCACCAACAAAGCCAGATAATCAGCTAATAACTTAGATGGCTAAAAATCATGCAGACCGCAAGGGGGCTCTATTTGACTCAGCGGGATATCTGGCGGATTTGCTGAGTCGTTGTGCCTTCATCGAAGAACAGTTTTATGGGGATAGAAACCCTGTCATAGTGAATATCGGGAAAGAACGATCGATCGTCCGGGTATATGTGGCAATATTGCGATACTCCGCCGAAGTACGTAGAGTTCAACAGTCTAACAAGGGAAAGGATATCGCGGAGAGCATAACGGCTATAACAAGCCAGCCACTCCTGCAGCTCAAGACCTTAGCCAAGGAAGAGGAGTCCCACCTGTATCAATGGCTGGTTGTGGACCAGCACCTACACCGAAAAAAGGAAGCAGAGGCTATTCTGACTCACCTCGATGAATTGATCGTGGATATCCAAAAAATGCGTGATGCAGTTGATATGTTGCATCTCCCTGTTGCCAAAGGCGCATTTTTTGACTCCTTCGAGGATCAGCATGAGGATGAGTGCCTTCCTGGAACACGAACAGAATTGCTTCAGAAGGTGCAGGACTGGGGAAGGTCTAGTGAAAGATGTATATTCTGGCTGAGTGGAATGGCAGGTACTGGCAAGTCCACTATTGCGAGGACGGTAGCCCGATCGTTTAAAGAGGATGGCATCCTCGGGGCAAGTTTCTTTTTTAAGAGGGGCGAGGGAGATCGTGGCTCAGCTGCAAAGTTCTTCCCAACAATAGTAAAGCAATTGGCAGTCTACATTCCTCAAATGGTTCCCGGAATCCGAAAAGCTCTCGAAGACGATCCTGCGATTCCGGGAAGATCAATTCGAGAGCAGTTTAATAAGCTCATGTTACAGCCGTTACTCGCTGTAGATTATGGTGAAGCCATGGATTCCACAGTGATTGTCATCGACGCCCTAGATGAATGCGATCGGGAGGAAGACATAGAGATTATCCTCAACCTTTTACCTGGGGTTGAGACGGCAACAAATCTGGCAATCCGGTTCTTCTTAACCAGCCGGCCGGAGATACCCATCCGTTTTGGGTTTAATCAGATCGATAGGAGCAAGTACCAGAATACTATCCTGCAAAATCTGGATGAAGATATGATAAAACATGATATCGCCTTATATCTCAGAGAAGAATTCTCGAAAATACAGCAGAAGCGCCGGTATGCTCTTTCTCCCGGCTGGCCTGGAGAGGAACGGATCGAAGCCTTAGCAATGATAGCTTGTCCGCTCTTTATTTTTGCAGCCACAATGTGTCGTTTTGTGGGGGATAGGCATTTTGACCCGGATGAACGGCTTCGGGAGTTTTCTGCTAGTTCTACAGGATCAAAGATGGATAACACATACCGACCGGTTTTGAGCCAACTCCTTGTCAAGGATACTACAGACAGGAATAAATTGGTGAAAGAGTTTCAAAAGATTATCGGTGTAATTATTCTGCTTGCTAATCCGCTCTCGTTGAGGTCTCTTGCAGAGCTGCTTGAAACACCGGAACACCATATCAGTATTTATCTGGACTTATTCCATTCAGTCCTGTCTATACCTAGCGATCCGACTCTGCCTATACGGACCCTGCATTTGTCCTTCCATGATTATCTGGTGGATCATCGTACAAAAGACCAAAATAACATATCCCGATTCTGGGTGGATAAAAGGGACAAGCACGAGTTCATAGCCTGCCAATGTCTTGCTGTTATGGGCCGTTACCTCAAAAAGAATATTTGCAATCTGCCAAGCTATGGGACCAGCCGAACAGAGATAGGCCCTGATTCTATAGCAAGATATCTTCCGCCTGCCCTCCAGTATGCCTGTCGTCACTGGGTTTACCATCTAACTGAAATCCCAGCACAAGCCAGAATTCTTGGCAAAGTGCTCATATTCCTGAAAGACCACTTTCTTCATTGGCTGGAGGCCATGGGTATTTTAGGAATAATATCAGAAGCTATAATTGCGGTGAATTCATTGCTCCAACTGACTAAAGTGAGTATTAAACTAGCTTGTGGCAGCTGACCGACTAACACTAATGGAAAATCTAGGATAAATCCAGTAATGAGATACATGTTTTCCTCTTAGATACGCGCAGATTTATTCTAAAGTTTACACAAATTGTTGATACAGCACCACTGCAGCTGTACAGTTCTGGTCTGATTTTCGTCCCACGTACAGCGTTGATCAGAGAGAATTTTAAGAGAGAACTTCCTACTTGGTTGTTCAGAGGTCCAAAAGTAGAAGAGTATTGGAATCCAGAAATGCAAACGCTGGAGGGCCATTCTGGCTCGATTCTGTCAGTTGCCTTCTCAGGCGATGGCCAGCTTCTGGCATCCGGCTCTCTTGACAAGACTATCAAGCTATGGGATCCCGCCACCGGCACTCTTAAGCATACCCTAGAGGGCCATTCTGACTCGGTTCAGTCAGTTGCCCTCTCAGGCGATGGCCAGCTTCTGGCATCCGGCTCTGGTGACAAGACTATTAAGCTATGGGAT